CCCCCCATTATATCATGCAGGAGAAAAAAGTCTTTAATTAAAAGGATTTTATTCTGAGTGATTAAAAATGAGATACAGCTTCCCCAATTTATAACACCTTATGTAGGGACATCTTAGACACATTGTATCTGGAGGCAAGCTTTGCCCAAAGAACATAAATCTTTTCTTCTGTCACATGTTCCCTCTGCCACTTGGCAGAGCAGTCTCAACTGCACCCGCTACAGCACAGCTGTGCAGAAATGGGGTGCAGCGTTCTCAGTAAGGCCTGTCGATCATATCATGGGACCCAAAGCAAAGTTCCTATGAAAAGACCTAGCCAGTTGCCTGGGATCAGCGTGTACTATTAGAGAACAAACATGTATTATCGCATACCTGGTAAAAGCTCACACTTCTGTGAGAAGGAAGCAATATTTAGCTGAGGATCCATGTACGCATGATCTGTACACTCGCCGGTTTCCTAGTTTTTAAAAAGTAAATAAGTGCATTTAAGTTCAAAACATTTTAAGAACCTTTAAACATTTAGTAAAATTAAATATGTCAGCTTTACATAGAAAACAAAACAAAACATAGTCCAGTTGCAAAAGAGAGAATAAGAAATAGTTAGGTATTAGCACCAACAACAATAAATGCACATACATGAACGCAAAGACGCGAAGTAAGATGACAGGAATACCTAGGGCAGGAAAAATAATTATATAATTGAGTGGGTAAAATTTCTTTTAGAAAGGCAAACAAAGACTTCCAGATGAAGTTAAAAACAAAATTAATGTATTATATTTTCAAGAATATCTTGTAATACAAAAGATAAAGGAAGATTAATCATAACGGATGAGCAAAGCTATATGAGGCAAATGTAAACAAAAAAGGAACTATAGTACTATTTATATTGGACAAAGTAAAATTCAAGTAACAAAAAACTCATGATGGTAGTAAAGAAGATAATTTTATTTTTATAACAGATATAGTCTAGAAGCATGGAGTCAAAATACATAAAGCAGAAATTAGATATATGAATAGAAATAGATTAAAATAATGGTGGTGGGTGGGGAAATTTAATATACAACTATAAATCTAAGACAGACCAAAGGGATAGAAAATAAATAAGGTCATAGAAAAAGAGTAACATAATAAAAATGTATTTAGATGGTGATTTCATATGATACATAAGACTTAAATGATATTTTTAAAGTATGATACAGATATTTTTAAAAATATATATCTTTATTGATTTCAGAGAGAGGAAAGGAGATAGAGAGAGAGAGATAGAAACATCAATGATGAGAGTCATTGATTGGCTGCAGCCTGCAACCTGCTCACGTGCCCTGATCGCCTGGATCCTAGGTCGACACTCAACCGCTGAGCCATGATTTGATTTCAAATCAAAACAATACAGGCCATGTCCTTTGACCTCAGCACCAAAAAGAAAAAAATTCCTAAAAATTAATAAGTTTAAACAAATAAAAAAGAAACTAACTACTTGGAAATCTAAACAAGCTTGCCTAAATAGTCAGGGTCTTCCTTGGATAAGAAAAAATAGAAAAAGCAAAACAAGAAAAATGAGAATTTTACATAATGTTGCCAGCACAGCATTTAGAGTTAAACTCATGGCTTTATCTACTTTCATAATTTAAAAAGAGAGGCAAGAAACAAACAAAAGAACCTCAAATCTAGGTGTTTCTCTCAAGAAGTTAGAGAAAGGAAAAGAATCATAAATAGCCTCCTGCAAAACAAAACAGGAGGAAACAATAAAGCAAGAACTGAGGAACTAGGAAACAGAAAACACTAGCGTTAATAAATAAATCCAAATGATCGTTCTTGGGGTAAGGGAAAAAGTCAAAATGCAAAAAAAGGCAACATAGCAAAGGAAAGAGAGAAATATAAAAATATAAGAGGATAATTATGAACAAGTGTATGCTAATTTAAATCCCAAAGAAATGGATACTTTTCTGGAAAACTCTAAATAACCAACACTAACTTAACCCAAAGAACAAAACTCGAGTGGACCAATAACCCAAGTACTAGGGGATGCTATCATTACTCTCAACTCCCATTCCATTTCTCTCCTCTAAACAACATAGATGTTTTATAGATGAATAATTTTTAAAATTAAAGAAACATATAGTTCCATGCTATATAAACTGTTTCTGAATATAGAAAATAGTCATAAACTACCCAACTCAAAAAATAGTGGCTAACCACCTAACTCAAAAATAGAAAGTAGCAGGAAAAGAGGAAGGCCAAATATGACTTGGACTGACTCCATAAAAGAAGTCATAGAAATGAGTCTACAGGCACTCAGCAGAGCTGTTGAAGTCAAGACAGTATGGTCATCACTCATTCATAGGGTTACCAGAGTCAAAGCTGACTCAACTGCATGTCACACACACCCAATTCATTCTACAAAACTATAATCTGGATACCAAAACCTGAAAAAATAGAATGCACACACAAACATACCCAGAAAACTGTCAAACCATTTTCACCTTTAAATATAGATGTAGAGTTCTTAAACTAGAAATAAAACCCAAATGCATATTTAAAGAATCACTAACACTAAGCAAACAGAGTTTAAGAATCTAGAGATTACTATTAGGAATGTTGTCAAAAAAAATAACACATTAAATTAGAAATATATAACATGATATTTCAATATATATTTCAAGCATTTGCTAAATTATAACACCAATATCTTAAATTTTAAAAAAATGTATTGGGATGATATTGGTTAATAAAATTACATAGAAATAGCTTTAGTGAACAGTGTTCTGGATATATATAAATAAAATCATACAACTTTTAGAAATTTAAAATAACACTTGCCTAAGTAGAGATATATACCAAATTATTGACTGAAAAGACTAAATATAGTACATATGCCAATTCTCCTTAAATTAATTTAGAAATGTAATGCAGTTCCAATCTATACGACAATATAAGTTTTTCTGACAAACTTATTCTAAGTTGGTTTTGAGGATATAAACACTGGAATAATAAATCACAAATTTAAACCTACCGTTAAAACATGGTGATACAAAAATATAGACAACAGGTTTTTCATAAGAAACTATTATGGAATAAAGGCTGTCATAAATTTATGTATAAGGGGAGAATGTTGAGATATCTGGTTATCTTCTTGAAAAAGACTCAATTCAGAGACCTCACAAGATACATTAAAGTTAATTCCAAACAGGTTCAAAAGCTTTATTTAAAAACACTGACTATAGACAAACTAGGGGAAAAAGGTGACTGCTGAGCAAATTGTGGAAGAATTCTAATGGAAAATATTATTAGGTTTGATCACCTATAAACAAAATCTACTTATAAGTCAGAAATACCATAATGAAAACTAAACAATGAACAACTAAGAAAATATGATGAAGCACTGATACCTTTAGTATACAAATGCTCTTTTCCAAATCATTAAGATTTATTCCAAAGAGAAATGGACAAAGGATATAGGAAATAATTCATAAATTCAACCCATAAATTTCTAACAAATGTATGAAAATAAGAAAATATACCAAATACAGAAATAGCTTTATTCTCAATAATGTTTGATGAGTTACTAACTATAATAAAAAATGAAAACAACCCAAATGTCGAACAATAGAAAAGTAATTGAAAAACTATCTATCATATCTTAAATAGGATTTTATAGTTATTTAAAAAAAAGTTTATCAAGAGTTTTAATGACATAGGAAAATTCTAAGGTGAAAAAAATGCAGCATGTAAAATAATCACAATGATTAACAGACAAAGAAATCACCCAAAATTGTCAATATCTCCCCCCCCCCAAAAAAAAAAGATCAGAGGGAAATATACTTTGGGTATTTGGGGATATGGGTCAATTTTTTTCTTCTATGTTTCTGCATTGCCTTGACGTTTTCTACAAATGTTTATTTCCAATAAGGAGACATCTATGTAATAAATGTTATAGTTGTTAAAGATACAAGGATTGCTACATTTACAATACCTTAATTTTGGATGGGGAGAAGGATTCCTGAAGTAGCCCTGAGGTTCTCAATTCTATCAGCATATTTGATTCACCTAGAAGCTTTTAGATTATTCTGACTCCAGGGACCCCCGCCAGACCAATGAAATCTGACGTCTGGGGGAATGGCCTAGGAAGAGTTATTTTTCAAGCTGGCGAAATGATTCTAATATGCAGTATGGCATGAGAACTACTTATGAAACCTCTTAACTCAGTGCTTTCTCAAACTTAGAGTGCAAGTGAATCAGCTGAGAACCTTGTTAACATGCAGATGCAGTAGGTGTGGGGTGGAATTCAAGATTCTGCTTTTCTAACAAGCTCCCTAGTGGTGCTGATGCTGCTGGTTCAGGGATCAAACTCAATAGCAAGGCCTTCAGTCTCACCAGCTGTAGGCAAAATAGTTCCTTTATATTTTAAGTCCTTTAATTATTGAAACAACACTGTGAGATAGGTGTTATTACTCATCACTATTTGACAAATGAGGAAATGGAAGCTCAGAGGAGTTACACCAAGAATCTGATTGGCTTTGTGACTCCAACTAGCCCTTGCATTTCTCTGTGTTGCAAAGAAAAGACTAACTTGAGGCCTTAAAACAAATGCAGGAAGATTAAAGCTAGATAACATCTATATAATCTCAAATGACTAACTAAAAAATGTAAAAAACAGGTGTTAAAAGGCCAAACTTGACTAAAAATAACAAAGCTAACTAGTAGCTAAGGCATACATTTTTAGAGGGTTTCTCTCTCTCCTTTTTTACTATTTTTTATTATGGTAAAATATATGTAACATAAAATTTGCCACTTTAACCATTTTTAAGTGCATAATTCAGTGATGTTAGTTACATTCAGAGTGTTACGCAGCCATCACCACTATCTACTCCCAATAGTTTTCATCACCCCAAACACAAATTCTGTGCCCATTAAGCAATAAACTCCCATCTCCCTCCTCCCAGCCCTTGGTAGACTCTCATCTACTTTTGTTTCTATGCATTTGCATATGTTGTATATTTCATATAAGTGGAATCATACAATATTTATCTTTTTGTGTGTGGCTTATTTCACTTAGCATAATGTTTTCAAGGTTCATCTATGTTGTAGCTCATGTCAGAATTTTATTTCTTTCTAAATAAAAGAACATCCCATTGTTTTATATATACAGTGAATTGTGCTTTTCCATTCATCTGTTAATGGACATTTGGGTTGTTTCCACTTTTTGGCTACTGTAAATAATTTTGTGATGAAAACTGACATAAGTATCTGTTCGAGTCCCTGTTTTTAATTCTTTTGGGTATATATCTAGGAGTGCAATTGCTGAGTCATGCGATAATTGTATTTATAACTTTTTGAGGAACTACCAAACTGTTTTTCACAGTGACTGTACCATTTTATATTCCCATCAGCAATGAACAAATGTTTCAATTTTTCCACATCCTCCCAATACTATTTTCCAATTTTTAAAAAATTATAGCCATTTTTAGGGGTGAAATGGCAACTCATTGTGGTTGGTATTTACACTCCCTGATAGCTAATTATGTTGAGCATCTTTTTGCAGTGCTTTAATGGCCATTTGTATAGCTTCTTTAGAGAAATGTTTATTTTAAAGTCCTTTGCCCATTTAAAAATTAGGCTGATTGTCTTTTTGTTGTTGTATTGTAGGGGTTCTTTATAAATTTTGCATATTAAATCCTTATCAGATATATAATGTAAATAATTTATCCCATTCTGTCGGTTGTCTTTTCACTCTCTTAATAGTATCCTTTTAACTTTTCTCCCAATTATGAAATAAATATATGCTTGATTAGAAACATTAGGAAGTATTAAAGAGTTTCAAAAAGTATAAAGAATCAAAAAAAGGCACCCATAGTCCCAACCGAAAGTTAACTATGTTTTATACTTTTGCTTTTTTTTTTTCATCACTTAAACATTTTTTTATAAGAGTTCATTTGAGGCAAACTAACAACATATGACAGGGAGCAAGACCTCAAATGCTCCCCTCCATCACTTTTAATATTCACATTTACTTTATATATTTGAATGAATATGTATGTATAGTTTCATAGTCTATATTTTTACTTACCATATTATAACCATTTTAATAAGTCATTAAAAAATATGTAAGTATAATTTTATGGCTGCATATATTCTACTGCATAGGTATGCTATAATTTATTTAAACATACCCTAATGTTGAAAATATAAGTTATTTCCATTTTTTTTCTAGTAATAATAATGCTGAAATTAACATCTTACTGTCTGGATTTCTCACTTTCTTCCCATATCATAGACTTTTAGACATAGAATAATAGACTAAAGGGCTTGCAATAATCCTTTGCTCAAAGCACAGTCTTCTGCTAAAATGCAAATCCAGTATTCCTGGGAAGGTCATGGTGCCTTAGTCATCTCAACATGCATTAACGAATGCCACTTAGCGATACTCTCCTTTAACATAAATTTGGTTCTGATAACAAGATGTAATCCTAGAAAGTGATAGAGGCTCAGGATGTGTTTATTCAAGATAAAGGAAGGGGAAAGGAGGAATGGAAAACGAGCAGAGCCAAGTTTAAAGTTAGGGACTATCCTGCATTAGAGCTCAGGAACACTGGAAGGATGTTAAGCACAATGGGGAAGAAAAGGAGAGAGGAAAGTGTAAAGACATGAGCTGACAAACTTGACATGGCATCATTTTATTTCAGGCCCTGGTTATATGTGTAAATGCTTATTGCTAGATGTAGAGATTTTTTTGACCAGATGGGTAAGGCAGCACTAGTGACATGGTGAATGTGACTATGAATTCATGAATGTCACCTAAAATTTCAGTGACCAAGTCTTCCTATATAGCTGAGTATTCCCACACCTGTAAATACCAGACACCAAATACTAGTGACTTCATAATTAGATTTTTTTCTACTTACACCGTTTTGAAGGGACTTGCAGTCTGGAGTTAAGAATAGAAAATTCTCCTTCAAACAATTAGTTTGCTCAATTACGTAAGTAACTTCATAGTTCCATCCAGCTACCACCTGAAACAATTTTGAATTGAATAGTTAAAGGGCAGTTTAAACATTATTCACTGTGTTATGAGGAGCTGAGAATACTGCCTGGCATATTGCAAGTACTCAAAAATAGAAACTATTATTACTAGGCAAAAGTCATGACTGAATAAATATTGAGCACTTTATGACTCTCATACTCCTCAACACACACACACCCACACGCGCACACACATGCACACACTCCTACACATTTAAATATAAAAAGTAAGTGGAGTTACTGTATTTTCTTAAGAAAGACCTAGCAATATTTCCCCTGCCAGGCAGCAAAAAAATAATGTCCTCCTGAATTTTGTGAAATATTAGTAATGCTCTTTTAAATATATATCTTTATTGATTTCAGAGAGAGAAAGGAGAGGGAGAGATAGAAACATCAATGATGAGAGAATCATTGATCGAGCCCACAACCCGGGCATGTGCCCTGACTGGGAATTGAACCCCAATCACCTGGATCCTAGGTCGACACTCAACCGATGAGCCACGCCCGGCTGGGGAAGTAATGCTCTTTTAGATGGTTAAAGAAAACTTTGGAGCTAGAATGGTCATTACTGATAGATTCTCAGGTTCTCAGACTGTCAGGCAGTAAGTTTTCTTCTGCTTTATCTTGGGCTAGTCCCAACCTGACAGCTGGATCTGAATGTAGTTGAGTAGAACATGCATCTTGCATGAAAGCAAGATGGACAGTCTATTAAAAGCAGGGAATGTTATTGACCAAAGTGAGTCCTTCATAATTAGACACTGAAATACAAGGGACCCAGTCAACTGTCAGTAAAGGCTTAGTGAACCAAGTCAATAAAAAGACCAGATTTACAAGTATTTACTTTTTTTTTGATGATATGAAAACTATAATTTAGAGGGTATTCAGAAAGCTGTGCCCACCTTTTTGGGTACCACTTAATATTTTGGAGCCATGTTTGACTCATGATAGCTAGGTGATAATGTAGTTTTCTTCAAACCTTAAGGCCAGAATGACCTTTACATTTCACCATCTCTAAGAAGAATGTGACCCAGTCATTAAAACCAACCTCAGAGCAAGGGGTCTGATTAGAAACTCCTTTGCCCATTACATGTTGCAGTATCCAAATCACTTTGACTAAAGAGAAAGCTCTTTACCTTCTATGATAGTCACATGAGGACATAAAAGAGCTCCCTCTGCACGTGGAATCATATATTTTCTTTTGACCAATGGTTTATTTTAGGTAATGAAACCCTAAACATAAAGATCCAAAACATTTTAACAATACTGTGAGAAATGAAAACTAAAGAACAAACCTGTCTCTGTGCCTTTTTTACTTCTTTAAGAGTGAAGAGGTGGGAATGATTTGTGTGGTTGTTAAAATGTTGAATGGCATGTTTCAGAACAGGTTCCAAGTCAGGGCTGGCAGTTGATATGGGGTGCACACAGCCTGTGCATTCATACTTGGATGTCATCACAGGGCCCTTGGCTTGACAAAGAAAGAGCAGGCAAAAGGGCAGCATTAATGAGGAAAACCCATATTCAGATACATTGCCCTAAATAAGAAAGATAATTTCAAAGGCCGTGGTATACAAACTTTCTAGTAAATTCTAGTATGTATTAGAAAAAGAGAACACAAGACTGCTTTTTAGTCAATCAGAGGGGAAAAAAACCTACCATTGACTTAAGAACATCTTACATGCATACTATTGTGCATAATTATTTTAAAATCATAATAAATTATAGAAATAATACATGGATTTATCCACTTACAAAAAATTAAAATGTTCTCTGGCTGGTGTGGCTCAGTTGGTTAGGCATTGTCCCCATGCACCGAAAGGTTGCTGGTTCGATTCCTGGTGATGGCACATGCATGGGTAGCAGGCTCTACCCCTGTAGGGGTTGTGCAGAAGGCAGCCAGTCACTTTCACATTGATGTTTCTCTCTCTCTCTCTCCCTCTCCCTCCTTCTTTCCCCCCTAAAAAATTAAATAAAAAATTTTTTTAAAGCAAAACATTACAGGTATATTATTATTTATTTCTCAGTGCTAATTAAAGCTCCTTGAAGCCTGGTTCAGGGTATAATATGTTTTGTATCAATTCAATTCAACAAACTTGTACATATTTTGCACCTGCTGTAATATGTCAGGTGCTGAGCTAGACTATGTGGATAAGTTAATGTGTTAGTAATGGTCACTGTGGTGAAGGAGCTGGGCAAAGTCAAGTGGGGGAGAGAACTGTAGATGGTATTTCAAAATAATTTGGCAAGAGCTTAGAAAGGCAGGAGCCCAGAGTGAGCTCAAGAAAGACTTTCCTGAAGAGAAGAGGTCTGAGCTAAGAAGGGTGAAAAGCAGTCAATATCAACTGGGCAACACAAGGTGCGAAGCCTAAGAAAGAACAAATGGCTCCCAAGAAAGCAGGAGTCAGGGGCAGCCGTGTGGGATGTGGTGTATATTCATTTTACCAGGACTTGAAGCACAAGGCAGGAACTGGTGATTGAGGTCTGAACAGTTGGTAGAGAGAGTCCACTGCTGTTGAGCCTGGGCCACTCTCTGGAGGCCAGGAGTTACAGACTGTATTCCAAGGGTCATGGGCTCCTTGGTGGACCTGATGAAAGCTATGGCGCCCTTTCCAGGAAAATGCGGGTACTCACAATGTTCCCCACATAATTTCAGGGTGTTCATAGATCCACTGAAGTGAATTAAGAGTAGTCTGCAGTAACAATGGGGTGCCACTGAAGGGGTTTTGATAAAATAATGTAAAATACTAAAACAGGAGTGAGTTTGTATTAAGTTACCAAGTAATGTTTATAACAGATGGTTTTAACCCGCTGTTAGTAGAGGCACACGCTGTAGAGGGGAGAGTCATGAAGGAGTCCTAGGCCCCTTCCCCCAGGGCTCTCACTGCCAGAGTATGGAAAATCCAGACAGAATCAGGAGGCCAACAGTGTTCTACAGCAGTGTCCCTCAGTTGTTAGCAAGTCAACACAACTCCCCTTGCAACTGTTTCTTGGCTTTCACTCCATAAGTATGTGTGTCAGAAAAAAAATTTACTGGGTGAATGTTCGTAGCTTTCCTCACTGTTCCTCTTGCAGAGGTTATGCAGCATCAGGGTAGTAGACAAAGTTTAAAAATTGGAGGGGAATTACATGGGAAAGGTGAGAGAATTACTGATGGGAAGACAAAAGATTGATCAACACAGGGGGTGAAAGGGGAGATGGAGAAGAGGCCAGCAGCTACTTTTTGCTGACCTCAAGGGCAGCTCCGACTGGGGTAAGAGAAGAGATGGAGCAGCCTTTTGAGGGTGAGAGGAGTGGGAAAGATGCAAATTCAGGTTTTCCTGGTGAAGGAATGATTTTTCACCCTGCCCCAACATTTCTAGGGAGATTTTTAAAAACTAAAATAAAGATTTTAAATTTTGAATTCTGAAACATATGTGGCCAAAAAGGTTTCATATAAGGGATTGGGGACCTAGTAGTGATTGTGGACCTAGAAGGTGTGGCAAAGAGCTTTTTCTCTCATGGCATATAAGTGCTGTAGTCTGGATAATGTGAAATTTGCTTATGAGCTAAAGTTCTTAAACTGAACAATAAAAAGCTACTCCAAAAAAAATTTTTTTTAATTACTTGTGATTTCTTTTCTGTTTTGGACTGTTTTTCTTTGAATGCCACTTCTTGCTAGGGCTGAAACTCAAGGGGTATAGTTTTTGTGCGTTCCATGTGGATGACTAAGGCCAGGAGAGAACAGTGGCCCCTCCACTGATGTTCAAGAGTGTGGCTGTGGATGCTGTTCTGGAGCCTCAGCTACTAAAACCTTACCTTGCAGAAAGCCAGTTCTGGGTTGGCTTTTGTGATTGACATTACCTAGATATGCCCACTCTTCTGCACCCAGCCGCTGTGCCACCAGAGGGAAGGAGCTAATAGTGGTTATATCTGTTCATAAGTTGCTCTATACTTACAGGGTCTACTATACTAACTCTGTTAATTGTTAGCTGTGGGACCTTGGGCAAGATACTTAACTGTGGTGAGCCTCGGTTTCCTCATCTGTAAAATGAGAATATTAACACTTGCCTCATAAAATTGTTATGAGGATTAAATAAGTTGACGTAGGTAAATCAATTAGAACTGTGGCTGGCAATAAGTGCTCAATAAATGCCAGCTATTATTACTTTTATTCTGATTATTATTAATACTTTATTATGACTGTAACTTCAGTCCTCTCATCTAGCTTCAGACTACAATAATCCTCTGCGGTGAGAATTACTTTGGCCCCTTTCATAGACAAGGAAAAGGGAAACCAAAAACGTAAAGAGTTTTGGAAAGATTCCAGGCCAGGTCTGACCTCAAAGCCTGTGTTTTTCTGGCCCTAGGACACTCTCACAACTGAAGGTATGTGGTATGCTTTCTAGCCCTTTCCCAAGGCCCTTGCACACACCTAATACAGCGCTGCTCTTCAGGGAGAGTGTCAGGGTAGTGCTAAGGGGATGACTGGCAGGACCTGGCCCCAGCCTCAGTACTCTGCTACCCCTGACCCCAACCCTTACCAAGGCTGCAAGCGGCATTGCTATAGCCACCTGCTGCCCTCCAGGAAGGAGCTTTGTCTAAGTTATGTTCCTGGCCTCACAAGAAAATGGTTCATATCCCCCAGGACAGAGCCGCTGAATATATCAGCTACCTGGAGTAATGTGGCAGGTCTGGGTAGCCACGGAGAATTTCCCATTGTTTCTCTTCCCCACATTCGCAGTGCATTCTCCTGTGGCCTAAAAGGAAAGAAAGAAAAAAGGAGACCATTTATCTTAATCTTTCAGATGGAGAAGAGCACCTAGTACTAAATATGACTTTTCTTTTATTTAAAACTTAAGATTTTTTTCTAACAGGGTTTTGAAACACAAGAATGAATGTTTCTGTAGCCTAATCATCATTATTTACAAGCCATCGATATTCATGAAACATTGAGATGGTGAGGTTTTAAAGTAGTTTTATGTTTGGGGCACTGGAGATATTTCTTTTTCACTAAGATGAGCACAGTGCCCTAGAACCAGCATGCTAAACTCTCCTCTTACAGTTCAACTTCAGGACTCAACTGCACACTGGATGTGGTGTTTTTGATACCATCATAATAAACCCAGTTATTAATTAGCTGAAAAGGAGCAAAGGGAAGGCCAAATAGACACGTGCCCAGTAAAGTCTGGGAGACTTAGGGAAGGCACTTGTCTGTCAGTCACACCTGGAAAGGGGTCAGTGGCCATAGTAGGCGTGGCCACTGTAAGCCTGGGAGATTTCAGATGTTTAAACTCCTAAAGGAGTTCCCTCTCTTGCCTCTCACTCTCTTGTGCGCTGGGCTCCTGGTTCTCTTGTTGCAGGGGGCATGCTTCCCTGCTATCGCCCACATGGCTCACAGCCGTGTAGACCCCACACGATGGACTAATGGGCTGGAATTAGCCTGATGCTGTGTGGGACCCAGCTCCACCATGGAACGAAAACTTGGGACACTGGCTCTGCTTTTAGCTCTGCTGAATCCCCAGCTGCACCTCTTCCAGGACTGGTTTAAGGGAACTGGGACTTTAGAAACACAAGGATATAATTACACCAAATAAAGATCACTCATCCTCCCGTTCAAGTCCTAGAAAATTATTTTTCTCAATTTATCGTAAGGATCTGACCCCCAAGGCTCAGTGGGGAAAGAGATCCCCCACTTCCACTAGTGGACACCCCATTTCCACCGATAACATTTTGACATTAAAGAGGTACGTCCATGGCTGTGGAAAGAGTGGCTTGCTCCTGGCAGATACCAGCTGTAATCTCCCTCAGTTAAGGCCAAATCACCAGGTGTGGTCTGACACACAGGTGCTAGGCATTTGGTTAAGATACATTGTCATTAAAACAAGGTCTTTTCATAATGTACTTCCTTCCATCCTCCAACAACCAGATGAGGTCAATTTTATTTCCCTTTTACCAGGGAACTCCTGGGTTAAGAGTGATCAACCAGCTAGAGGCAGAGCAGAATTTGAACTCAGGTCTGTACAAATAAAGCTCCCATGGTCTCCTCTACCAGCCTTCAATCTTAGCCCAAATTTCAATCTGTTGACTCTCTGGGACATGGTCTATATGCCCCAATTGGTCATAAGAATCCCCTCTCCATGGTAGGGCTTTCTCCACATCTCATGGTTGGCCTCTATGCCCTTTCTGTCTCTGCAAGAACATAGACATCAAGCATTTGACTTTTCTACACATTTGAGGGTTTATGTGCACCCCTCACAAAGAGGCTCAACAATAAGCATCATCCCCAGCACTAGTAAAATAAGATAAAAAAAACCTGGAGGCTCCAGATCATCACACTTACAGCTTGCTCAGGTTCTTTGTAGTCACAATCCTGCCAGTTTTTGCCACTTTCAACAGAACAGTTGCCTTCCTTGATTTCGTACTTGACAAAAAAAAATATGTTCTGGTCTTCCTGAAAAAAAGCAACCAAAGATACATAAGGTTCATTCAGCTGACGCAACAGCAAACCATTTGAGTGGGATCTGGTGCAGTTATGAATATTTGATATTGATTTAATTCAACAGGAGCAAAACATTTATTAAAAATACTGAAAGTTATAAATACTTGAAAGAATATTCATAATATATTTGTAAACATATGAATTTTTAATTTACTAAGTAGTATTCATAGTATTAGCCTATTTTTGTAGAGACCAGTTTATATGTACATATATGATTTTAAATATATATATATACACATATATCTTTATTGATTTCAGAGAGAGAAAGGCAGAGGGAGAGAGAGAGAGAAACATCAATGATGAGATAGTCGTCATTGATCAACCACCTCCCGCATGCCCCCGACTGCAGATCGAGCCCGCAGCCCGGGCATGTGCCCTGACTGGGAATCGAACCACGATCTCCTGGATCCTAGGTCGACGCTCAACTGCTGGGCCACGCCCCGACAGGCTACAGATATGATTTTAAAAGTCTGAAAGTTATGCAGCAAAGCTGTTAAAATGTTTGTGTCTCAGTGGTGGGTATATGGTTGTCTTTCACTCTCTTCTTTAAATAAACATTCCTAAATTGTCTGAGTATTTTTTGGAAAACAAACATATATTACTTTTACAATTAGAAAACAAACCATAAAACAAGAGGACTTTTTCATTTTTGAAAAAATTGTTAATAGTTATCTCTGGATGGTGGGATTAAATTATGGGTAATTTTAGCATTTTTATTTGCTTTGTTTTATTTTCTATTTTTTCTAGCATGTCATAAAAATAATAACTTTTAAAACTCAAAGGTTCTGAGTTAGATGAGCTTTTAGATGCAAAATCCTGGCATGTTGGAGCAACAAGAGATATGAGAGGTGATGTTGCCCAGTCCCTCACTTTGCAGGTGAGAGAAAGGAGGCCTGAGTAGGTAGGGCTGAGCTTAGGCAGCCTCCAACCTTGGAAAAGCAATACCAGCCCAGACCCAGGTCTCCAGAGCCCAGGGGCAGTGCTCTCTCAGAGCCTGCACACATCAGAATATTTATATCTGAGAGATGATGGAGCCAAACATGGTGGCCTCTGAGGTTTCTTTCAGGCCTCAGATCTTGATAAAGCAGTAGGTGGTAGTGGTATACATAGCAAAGTAGAAAGCGATTCTATGGACATTTTAGAACAAAAAAACACACTTGCCACGGATGTCGGCCAATGAAGATAAGGCCAATAAAATGTTGCTGAGGGCACCGGGACTCACATGACTACACTAGTTTGTAAAACAGAGTGGCTCAATTTTACTTTCGGGCTTTTTCTTTAATCTCCTCATATCAAATGGCTGGTTTTTTTCTTCCACTGAAGTAAACTATCACAGAGACATAGTGAAATTCATTTGAACAAACTATTGAAAGTTTGTATTTTTGTTTACTTTGGTTTTGTTTTTTCTTTACAAATAATTTGCTTTCTTTTGTGTTCCACAGGACAGATTTCTAGTTTCAAAACAGGGTACATCAAGAACAAAAATATTCCCCCTGCATACCATCTTTATTTTCACCAATACAAGAAAACCTTCTGGAACATAAGCAAGTATTGAACAACTGAATCTACAAGTTAACACATAATCTGTTATGGCAGAATAATCAAGAATTTCCCCCAAAGAAACATTTTAATTTTCCCAAAAATCTCTTATTCCAGGTTTTAGGGTAGATAACACACTGGCAGCCAAAGAAGCTAAAACTCTTACTGTAAATAGATCCAAATTAAGACTTTCTACATTTCTTTAGAAAACAGAACCAGAATTCCTTCTTTAAAAATGATGATCCTGTAGAATGCCTTTACTTCCGTGTTTATATAATATTTTATAACAGTGAAACAGACACAAAATGTTGACAGCTCAACAATGCCAGATGCAGGACATTTACATGTGCACTTTTGTTTAAAAGTCCTACAGGTTTATTGACTAAGGATAGACAGCAAGTCATATGATCTTATTTGTTACTTTTTCTACCATGGTCCATGATCACTATGTGGATACAGCTAAGGACTGGGCCCCAACTTTCAGGAAAAAGACCACAAAGAAGAAAATCAAGGTGACGATTTAGTTCCCCTAGATGATCATTTGAACTGGAAAAATAAAAGGTGAAAAATACAGACTGCAACGAGTTAAAGGAGTTGGGAAAATTTGGTGGAGAGTGGCACAGTATAAGATTAAGGTCATTGGGCTTGGGATGGCAAGGGCGCTGCAAAAAAGAGCATCCACAGGACCAAGTACTATACTAATTATGTCCCATGGTGTCACTCCCTCAACATTAGAATATCTGCATGCAATAATAAATAGGTCAGTCATGCAATAAGGCAGTGTGTTGAATATGCATTCGTCCTATGGAATGAACCACTGCAGAGAGAGGTGCAGGACACCGTACACATTCTTTAAGTTTTCTTGTGTTGCGTTGGATTTGTTTGTTTTCAAGGCTACCCAGGCAAACTCTTCCCAGGGACCTCCTTGGAGAGAAGAGTGGTCCACTGAGCCTGGTTTGCTTAATATTTCCTTTATCAAGAGATGATGATTGGATTTAAAGGAAAATAAAAGCTAGCAGTTGTTTGATTTTTTCCCTTTCAGTTGCATAATTCTGAGTATTTTCATATAAACAACAAAAAAATCACAACCAAAAAATCACAAACAAAAAACCACAACCCAATAGTTTTTATGCATCCAGCTGTTGTGTCCCCAGGATGTTCCAGTTGGTTCCAGGTAACTAGTTTATGGACTGTGGTTTTGTCCGGTGAGTAAAGGTCAAAATCCAATGCTGTGTTTATCATATGAAAAGGTCCAGTTTCTTTGATAAGGTTCAGGGTCTGCTGCAGAATGTGTTTCCTTTAACGTCCTTTAGCGTCCTTCACCGGCTGTGAAGCTCTACCAGTTCCTTTGAGTATGCCTTGTCACACTCACCATCCTTATCTGCTTTACTTTGCTTTATTAGGCTTTTCACTTCAAGAATACGGTTGCTATTGATTTTTAATATGGGTGGCAGGGGTTCGTGATGTAGGGGGAAGAAGGAGAACTGCTTTCACTGTTGCTGCCAGTAGCTCGAGACTTCAGGGGCCTCCTCTATTTACAGGTCTCTCCATTTTGGAGTCATTGTCATTCTCTGCCTCATCTGATTAGTCCAAATTGTCATCTGAATGCAGATCTTTTATTATAAATCTTAAAGGACCTTGTTGCCTAGTCTGGGACTGTGTGAAGCTGGAGCTGGAGCTGGAGCTGGAGCTGGAACTGGCAGGACTGGGTTGTACAGACCTGTGCTCCAGCAGAGGGAAGGCGGCCTAGAGTAGACTGAAGCCATGCAGGAGGAGACTGGCCGTGGGGCCCCAGGTAGAGGGCTGAAGAGACAGCTGCCAAGCACTCCCACCCTACCTGAGTCTCTCCCCCACAGAGACCACCCCTTCCCTGTCTGAAAGTTTGTATTTCTTGGAATCACACATTCTATCAGGATTTATCTTCAACCTGAGAGTTTCCATAGATGATAAAAAAAAATATTCAAAACCAACTAGAACACTACTGGTACCTTTGATGCATTCAACCATAGGGACTTCTTGATAGATATTTTATATAATATAGTAGAAATATGTTAATCTTATTTTTTACTCCTTTTAGACTACCACACCACCCCTCATTTAACCTAGCTTTATTGAAGTATAATTGACAAATAAAAATTGTACATATTTAAGATATACAATAAAGTGATTTGATATATGTATACATTGTGAAATGATTACCACAAATAAGCTAAATAACATATTGAAACCTCACATAATGACTTGTTTTGTGTGTGTGGTGAGAACACTTAAGGTCTAGCCTTTTAGCAAATTTTGAGTATACAATACAGTATTATTAACTCTAATCACCATGCTGTACATTAGATCCCCAGGACCTATTCATCTTATAACTGAAAGTTTGTACCCTTGACCAACACCTCCCTACCCCCACCCCACAGCCCCTGGCAACCACCATTCTACTTTCTGCTTCTGTTGAGTTTGACTTGTTTAGATTACACTTACATGTGAGATTATACAGTATTTGTTAGATGTACCCCTGTAAGCACCCCCTCCCCATCTGAGGTTTGGAGGTCTTTATATTTTAGTTTAAGGTTGGTCACCCAGTAAATCCTCTTGCTGTGGCCTGAGTTCCTGGGTTTTCCCACTCTGCACAGTCCCTTTCAAATGACTCCATCTACCTTTCTCTAATTTCACCCTAGGGTACCTCTCCTCTGATCACCCAGGAAGCCAACCTTGGTGGTCTGAGGACTAGTCATACCCTGCCCTACAACCCCCAGCCCAGAGAGTGGGGTTGGTCTTTTCTAAGAGCTGTAAGCCTCCACCTTTAATCATCAGATTTTGATGGTGTGTGTGTCCTGGGTTCAAGTAATAGCACAAATCCCAAATGACCTCAAGGTTAAACACAGCTTACTCACCGTCTTGTTGACTTCAGTTATGCGGTACAATACAAACTGGTTGCCACTTTGGATTTTACTGTTATAGTTCTTCAGAGCTTTGTCGACAGCCTTAAATACATCCTCATCATTGCAGTCAATTTCTTGTGATTGGTACTCCTGGGTTAAACTTGTTAGCAACTTGGAACAAAGGAAAAGAATGGTAATTAACTTCATCATTTAACAGTCTCACTCTGGGAATTTCACCAAGAACTGGGAGCTAACTTGGATGCTGATATTAACTCTCTTCAGCCTCTTATCTGTCTCTCCTCTCTCTGCCTTAGCACTTCAGGGTTCTGCTTGAATACCTGCTGCCAACCACTATTTGCCCTATCATAAAAGGACAACTGGCTCTGGTGGCCTATCCACGCAGATCTCAGGCTGGTACATTACAACACTGGGGTCATTGACTTGCTTGTTTGCATTTGGGAGGCATGTGGGAGCACAGAGCACATTTCCAGGTAATTGCACAACTTTGCATAGCAAATCAGGGTACAATCTAATAAAGGAGGAGAAAAAACATCAACCACTTGTTATTCCCTTTCCCAAATCCACTTATGAAGGTCACTACAATGCAACCAAGTGCAGACACCTTTCAATAAAATTTCTTTGCACACCTGGAAAGCCCATGCAGAGGGACATAGCGAGTGCAGGGAGTCTCACACCAAGACATTGGCACAACTAAAAATAAAACATGGGCATCCTATCTGGTCTCTGGCCAAGCCAGCCTCTCTCCACTCAATTGGATTAGTTGTAGAAGAAAACGCTCCCCAGGGTGGAGGAGACAGAAGAGAAACTTAAGGAGAGAAGGGTTGAGTGAAGCCTGCTTACCCTGTCCATTCTTCTTGTTTCTGTTTGGTGGACATTATGGGGGTCTTTCATTCACCAAGCCTAAGTGACCTTTCGATAAAGTTATACTATTCAGGGAGAGGAGGTCTAAAGGTAGGTTAAAGATATGGACCAGCCTTTAGGAGCTGTTTGCTTTCAAGTCTTTCCCTCTTCTCCCCCAAAAGATGTTTGACTTCTTTGTTGTTGCTGATAAGGTCTCTGACTGGCTGTATCTGCTCTGTAGGTCAGTGCTGGTGGCACATTGGTTATTAAATATTTTTGGTATGGTCATGTGGCTCCAGGAAATGAAGTCTAGCTGTACTCTAAGGAGGAAAAGGAGATGGGCTGCCACCATCGCCATTTTTTAGAGAAGGAAGATGAGGCCCAGAGGGGTTTAATAACTTTCTTAGGATCCTATAGTCAGTAAATTGTAGGACGGGGGTTAGAATCTGGATGGGTCTTCTCCAAAGTCAATTTTTTTCTGTTTATTATACTGCCTGAACCCACTGCCAAGTTCTGTTTTCTTTCCAGTTTTATTAAGAAATAATGGACATACATCACTGTATAAATTTAAGGTGTTCAGCATGATGCTTCTATTTACATATCTTTTGAAATGATTACCAAATAGGTTTAGTTAACATTAATTATCTCATATAGATATAATAAAAGGAAAAATTTTCTTCTTGTGATGAGAACTCTTGGGATCTGCTCTCTTAACATCTTTCTTATATATTATGCAGTAGTGCTAACTATAGTCACCATGCTGTAAATTACATTCCTAGTCCTTACTTCTCTTAAAACTGGAAGTTTGCATCTTTTTTTAAAAAAAAAATTCCCATTGATTTCTTTAGAGAGAGTGGAAGGGAAGGGGAGAGACAGAAACATCAGTGTAGAGAGACACATTGATTGGTTGCCTCCACCGGGGCTGGGGATGGAGTCTGCAACCGAGGTATGTACCCTGAACCAGAATCAAAGTTGGGACCCTTCGCTCCACAGGCCGACGCTCTAACCACTGAGCAAAACTGGCCAGGGTGAAAGTTCTCTTGTTCCTCCAAGTCGTGTTTCTCTGAGTCTTCACTTGGAACACCCACCATAATCAGCGTGGTGCTCCTTTCCAACTCCTCCTGGACGATGCCCATCAGTTGTCCCCTCGCTCTCCCACTTTACTTCTCCATCTTTTTGGACCCCTCCTTCTTCCCAGACTAAGAACTTACCCAAGTCTCTTTCACCCTTAGTTTTTTTCTTTCCCCTCCTTTCCCCCACTAGAATCTACCTTCTGCCATCACCACACACCTGAAACTGCTTCAGTAAGACAGATAGAATCTAAAGTCTTATTAGCTTGTGTCTAACTGCTTGAGACTGGTTTGGGAAAAAAGAAGAAGAAAGACAATTCAAATGTGAAAAAAAGAGTCCCCTGGCACCAAAAATGAATAAAGAAAACTTTCTGAGACTAGAAAAGCCCCTAGCATGGGGAGAAGGTATGAGAAGAACAGAGGAGTCTTGGGGTTCTGGAAGCAGAGGACACCTCTGCCCTGCTTTCTGGACATGTAGCCAGAAAGGCAGCAAGATCCCAGGGAGAGAAGAGTCACATGGTATTCTTGGCAGTCATGCTCATCAGTAACCTCACAGAGACTCCTGTGCCCCCAGTTTGATACAGAAGTAGCAGATAAACTAGACCCAAAGAGTGATGTGAACAGGGTAGTAAGCATCCCTTAGCAGGGGGACCTGGTGGACCAATGATGAAGAGTCAGATCTTGTCATGCCCACCCCCAAACACCTTGGACTACGTAAGATTCTCGAGCTGTGGTATAACTTTGTGTGGGGAGCACCAGAGTGGGGGGAAATCCAAGAAGGACTGAGGTTAAGTTTTCTATTATCCCAGTAGGATGGCAACTTGAAATAGAAATTAATGTGTTTTGAAAATAAAGTGGCCCAGCTGGCATGGCTGTGGTTGACTGTCGACCCAGAAACCAGGAGGTCATGGATCAATTCCAGGTCAGGGCATATGCCCAGTTTTCGGGCTATGCAGGAGGGGGTGTGCAGGAGGCAGCTGGTCAATGACTCTCTCTCATCATTCATGTTTTTATCTCTCTCTCTCTCCCTTCCTCTATCTGAAATCAGTAAAAACATATTTTTTTTAAAAAAAGAAGAAAGAAAATAAAGTGATAGTTCTGGTGCACTTGAATTTATGGTCATGATTCATGCCTATGAACGTCCTTGCAAATTATAGCCTGAGCTTTGTTTGCTTTATAATGAAATTTAGAACTTATTTTTCCAAAAGGAAATTTAGAGGACTAGAAATAAGAAGTAGGAGAGAATTTGGGTCACTTTTATAGGAATAATCATTTACATGACAATACACATTTTCTTGGTATGCCCAGCTACAGCATAAGTACTAATAGGGGAATGATGCTAGAATGAAAGGAGCTGAGTCCAGGAAATAAAGAAATACTGAGGATCAGAGATTTGTCTGGAGTGGCGTAGTAACAAGTGTGAGGCTTCTGACTCGTGACACTGAGCTTTTTCCTCTCCTCTCCATTTATCTTGCTCTTCTCATGTCATCTCCTTCCCTACCCACATTTTGTCCTATCCTAATTATGAAAGTAAGGACAAAATAACTTGTAGTTTTGCATTTATTAGTGGTTACACTTTATTTATGGTTCTAATTCTGAACATGACTCATTTTTTAAGGAACTCAGGTTTTCTTTTGGAAATGTATATGCAAAAAAAAGTTTGAGAGTTGTGGAAACTCACTCTTGAACATCCCTGGACATAATTCAGAGGCTGATTGAGGGAAGGGCTGAATTTCTGGCAATGAGAAGCTGGGAAAATTGGCTTCAGGAAGAGGAAGAACTTCACCTTTATTTAATGGAGGGAGTCTGTAAACATATCCAATTTGTCTCCATTTGAAGGGAAAGTGTCCTTTACCTGGACCTCTTTCTCCTGAGTGCCTAGGTTGTGGGCCATGGCCCCAGTGATGGTGATCTTGGACACCTTTACTATGGGGTGGTGGGTCACAGGGTCCATGGTCATGAAAATCATGGTCATAGGGATGGTGTCCATGAGGATGATGTCCATGGGGATGGTGTCCATGGGGATGATGCTCATGAGGATGGTGTCCATGGGGATGATGCTCATGAGGATGGTGTCCATGAGGATGGTGCTCACTGGAACTGTTATTATGAGAGGGTGCGTGTGTTCTATTCGTGCCAAAACAGAGGTGATGATACCTTGAAGGAGCTCCTGCTTGATGTGGTGGTCTGTCTGAGCGATTTGTGTCTTCTAGAGGAGGTGGGCATCTAAATTTATGTGATTTGTGGGGATGGTGGTAATCTCTGGATCCACTGTGCTTCAATGGAGGCTTGCCAGCAGAGGAATGCCCATGCTCACCAGAGTTGAGGGGATGGCCCAGATGGGGATGTACATCACTGATGTTTCTATGTTCCTGGTAAAGGACACAGAAAAGTGAATATCATCATGTAAAGGAGAAATTAGGTGTTTAACTTGATTTAGACCAATGGCTTCCATAGTTTGTATTCCACAAATAAATTTTAAAGGTAGCATACCAAAAAAGAGTTCTCAAATTTTTATCTAGCCAAGTTGGCATTTAAAATACAAACAAAAACTAATCATCTACCACTATCATTTCACAATAGGAATAATATTTGATAACAGAATGATAATCTCAGACTAAAGGATGGCTCTTTAAATGAAATATGTTATACCACAAAAAGCTTTTCTTATTATCTTTATTTTTCTCATTTCAACATAAAGTGGTAAAATTATATTACAGAATGGTACTCATCTGTAGATCAACATTTGGAAAACTAGTGCCTTATAATTTAGGCTCTCAACAGAGTTCTGAGACTCTAAGGTGTCAGCACCTCTTCCTCCTAAAGGGTGAGCACTTCACCTCTTCACTCTCCTTATTCAGGTTTTAATATTTTTAAAAAGTCTGTGCAGCCATGTTCATGGTGACAAACCTGCCCCCTTTTTTGATTTGGTGCATGGATGTTTGAATTATTTTCAGTTTTTTTGATGATGTAAAAAAATATGGTGAAGAATATTTGTGTGTAGAACAAAGGTTTCTATACACAGATATTCTCATAAAATATTGTTTTGCATCTTATTTTATATATCTTTCTATAATAAATTTGAAGTTAATTCATTCCCCTTACATTATGCGCCTAATAATAAAACTAGGATTACTAAGACAGCACTGGAGCCTGAACTACAGGGACCATTTTCAAATTCATTAAAGGTTGATTAAATTGGTCATGATTTTACTTTTATGACAAATCTCACACCTTCCCAATTCTTGAAAAAAAAAATCACACTTTCGGTGTCATACCAGAAATTGCACTCCTTTCCCCAGGGGCTATTCTCTCTGTTTTTCTCTCAACTCCCCCATCTCCAATCACATCTCATCTCTCCCTCCTTCTGATCATACACGCGTGCGTGCGCACACACACACACACACACACACACACACAGAGCCATAAGAACAAAATACACTATGTGTGTGAAAATATCACATAGTCTAGCACTGCTCATGACAAATGCTGCTTAGGCAATGCACCTTAAGGTTGAAGACTTCACAGTCTATGTCAACGTCTTTTGGAGTTTCCATGTCAGAGGTTCCTACACCATAGGACAAAGTTGATCTGCAGAATCCAAAGACCTATAAATAAGAGAAAAGCCTGTTAGTGTCTGTGTATTTGTGTGTATGTGTGCAGGTGGTGTGAAGGTGCCCAGTTAGAGTTGTGAACCTCCAGACATTCTGGAAAGGAAGGAGAGCTCTAGAAAAATCAAAGTGATATCATCAAATTTCTCAATCAGCTATTGAACAATTATTTCCTAGTCAACACTTTGGGAAAAGTACAGGTTCCAAAGATTTTCATTACAAGTTGCTATGGTTCTTTTCCATGACTGGTCACTAGTCATGAAAGTCTGGGCCTCCCCATAGGTGGTAGTAGGGAATGTTATGTCACTGATGCCTTGACCAACCCTTCTGCACTGAAGACCTGAGTTGCCTGTGCCTAGAAAGAAAGGAGAGTGGTGTAGATGAGAGATTTGTACAACTTTAACTGGTACTTTGGAGGAAAGTCTTGGAAAGCAGGGAGCCAGTATAAAAATGGGTTTGCACAGACCATGTCAAAGTGACTGCCTGCTGGCCCTACCTTAAGTTCAGAGGCTACACCTGACTGGCACCCCTCTGCCCCAGAGATCTCTAAACCCAGCTGTCAAAGTTCTAAGAAGAAAACTCTTTTTCAGAAGAGACTGTTGAGCATTGAGGTTCTGAGTACAGTTTTGGAGTCAGACAGACCTATGTTAATCCTGGCTTCATCATTTACTAGTTGTGTGAAGTTTAGGTAAGTTGTATAAAATTTCTGAAACTTAGTCTTTTTTAATAAAATGGGTACAATAATATCTACCCACAGATTGTGGGAGGGCTTAATTAAATGAGATAATGCTGTAAAACACTTACACTGAGCTCCTCTTCTCCAGCCTCCATGTTTCTGCACTGGGTTTGCATTACCCACACCAAGATCATTAAGGGTTTGTTGGGATGGGAGTAAGGGAGGTAGGTGTCTTTTCTGGTGGTCACTAAGCAGGATTCTAGAACTACTTCAGGTTGAAAAGTTGAACAGCCAGAAAAGGAATTAATGAATGCCTTCTTTCTTCTGCCCTGGAAGATATGTTCTTTTTCTTGTTTGTTTTACTCTTACCCAAGGATATTTTTTCCATTGCTTTTCAAAGAGAGTGGAAGAGAGAGAGAGAGAGAGAGAGAGAGAGAGAGACACATTGATTGGTTGCCCCCTGCTCTCGAACTGACTGGGGCCAGGGATTGAGCCTGCAACAGAGGCACTTGCCCTTGGCTGGAATCGAACGCAGGACTCTTCTGTCCCTGAGCCAATGTTCTAACCACTGAGCCAAACTGGCTAGGGCCTGGAGGACAAGTTCTTAAACTCCAGAAAAATCCTTGACTTGAAATCAGAAGATCAAAATTAAAATCCTGTATCCTATCACTTTCTAGCTAAGTGCCCTTGGGTAAGTGTTTACTTTTCTAGGCCCTTCTGTCCCAGGGAAATGGAAGCAGACATTTGTTTCCCTTCAATGGGGTTGTCACGGGGCTCCAACAAGGCAATAACATATGTGAAAGTGTTTTATAAACTATAAGTCACTATATAAATGCTGCATATCTTTCATAACATCTTCCTGCAGGCACATGAGCATCAATTTATAAATGATTAGGGGGAAAATCCCACTGGACTAAGTATATAAATGAATTTTCATCTCAGCTTGGTTGTGAACATTGGGCAAGACCCTTACTTCACTGAGCCCGTTACCTTCCCATTTGTCAAATATGGTCACTTCGAGGAGCAAATGAGATGAAGTGAATGAAAGCACCCATGAGTGTAGGTTCTTAATGCATTCTAGTTACTAGTTTTAGCTAAGTCTTTATTCTAATGAGTTAAAGAACACCTCAGTGCTAAGTTTAGGTATATATCATGTATATTTATGTATTTATTTATTTATTTAAAAAAAAATATATCTTTATTGATTTCAGAGAGAGGAAAGGAGAGGGAGAGAGAGAGATAGAAACATCAATGATGAGATAGTCATTGATCGAGCCCACAACCCGGGCATGTGCCCTGACCGGGAATCGAACCCTGATCGCCTGGATCCTAGGTCGACGCTCAACCGCTGAGCCACACCCGGCCGGGCTATGATGTATATTTGTAAAACAATATTCTTATGATTCACTTAATTCTCCATGCCTCGGCTTCCCTGTATGTAAATCATGTATAAAAATAGCACCTAGTAAAATAGCACCTAGTTCATAAGGTGTGTGTGTGTGGTGGTGGTGGGGGGGGAGGAATAGGTTAACATATGTGTAAAGCCCTTACAAGGGTTTCTGGCACATAGTAAGTAGTCTCTAAACGTTACTAGTATTGCACAGTCATCTCTTATACTCACATTATGGTGCCTGTGAAAATGGTGACTGGAGCAGTTCCTCACAGAGAAATCCACATAGTAATTGGTTCTTTTCCCTCCTCTCTAGAACAAATCAGATCAAAGCAGTTTCAGGAACATTTTTTTAAAAAGGCAGTAGATACCTATTATCCAATATTCTGTAAAAGCACTATGAGGATTCAAAATCACCAATATGTGCCATTTTTCTTATTGTCTCAGCCTTTTAAAAAGTTATCAAGTGATAAGGTGAATATTATCTCATTAAAAAGGTTCAGATAATACAGACATAATCAAGCATAGTGTGAAAAGCCATCCTTCCTGCACTCCAACCTCTTCTTCTCAGAGGTACCACTATTTGATGTGTCTTTCTTCCTAGCCTTTTCCTAAATATGTTGTGTATATACACACATATCTAATTGTTTAATATAAAGGGGATCATAGTCTAAGTATTGTTCTGTAACCTGCTTTTTTTCCTTAGCAATGTATCTTTAAACTCTTTCTAATGCATATAGGTCTAAAACATTTTTTTTAGCAATTGCGTTGTATTTATTAGATTGCTTGTATGCACTATAATCTATTTCATTCTGTGTTTTCAAAATACAAGGCAACATCAACTAGCTGTTCTACAAGACCACTGTGGGTGGAAGGCACTTGGGTCCCTGGACTGGGAAGAACTGAGTAGCTCCAGCCATACCACGAGGTGCGGTGAGGTAGTTGCTCTGTGCCTCAGTTTTCCATCATAATACATGGAGATTAGGATAAGGTGATTTTAATGACTCACATAATCCTAGTATGCTTTTCTGTCTTTTGCTCATTTTATTTGGGTTTCACCTCCTCGCTGTTAGATATCACACTCTCCACAGCTCCAAAAAAAAAAAAAGGTGCAGGAGGGCACTTCTGTGGTATCTGCTGCCTGCCTGTCTCTTGAGACTGCAACAGGAGTCTCAATTTAAAAAGCAACTGGTATTTGTCTTTCTCTGTCTGGTTTCTTTCACTTAGCATAGTGCTCTCTAGGTACATCCATGTTGTCATAAATGGTAAGATTTAATTCTTTTTTATGGCTTAGTAATATTTCATTATATATATGTATATAAATATATATACATATGTATATATATGCTGCAATGAACATAAGGATGCATATATCTTTTTGAATTTGTGTACAGCTGAAACCAATATAATATTGAATATTAATTCTAATTGAAAAAATTTTAAAATTATAATAATGAAAAGCATCTGGGCCAATAAGGCCACTGGAGAGGGTCAATGCTACTGAATTTGCTCCTGTGAGGTTGCAGTGTAGGCCCTCAGACTGTAGCTGGACATTAGTGGAAACTCACCACTCTCGTAACTCTTTCCACCCGGTCCACTCTGAAAGAGGCAAAGTCATCATTCTCCTTTTTGTACTTCTCAAGGACTTTCTCTGCTTCTTTTCTGTAAGGCTCAGTATCCTCAAAGAAATCGAAGAGTACAGGGCTGTCTTTAGTATTGACCAGTGCAGAAGAAACTGGAGAAAGAAAATGGCAGCTTTGTGGCTACTGGGTTGGAAACAGCAATGTCAATGCTGTGACTTAATACATATAAGCATGGTGGCAACCATAACAATACAGTAGCTTCTGTCTTACAGATGGGCAAATTGAGAGGTAGAGAAGCTAAGAAACTTGTTCCAGCCAATCAGCCAATCAGCAGCAGAGCTAAACTTAAACCCAGATCCTTCTGATGCTCAAGTCTCTGTTGTGACCCTTTTCATGATGTCCCGCCCTCATCATTCATAAAGTGTTAATATTTTAAGGAGCTCTTCCTATCTCTGCCAAGGAGGGAGAGCATTATTAACCTGAAGTTTTGCCCAGAGAGAGAAGGTAAGCTCAATCTTCTTTAAGGAAACCTCTTGAAGGAGCTGCTTGGCTGTTGAAGTTTTGTACATTGAATCATGTTGAGATTTGCTATTTTTAAAGGAATTCTGTGATAATCCTTTTGGGAAAAGTAAATAAAAAGAACATGGTCTTTAGAGTCAACACTGGTGGGGTGGACTTACGTTCACCACATTTTGGCTGTATTCCTAAGCCAAGTCATTGAACCTCTTTGAACCTCAGTTATTTTAACTCTAAAATAGAAAGTATCATAATCTTCATAGTCTTGTTGTGAGATTAAATGAGATGACATATGTATAACTGCTTTGTAGACTGTAGTATTAATATTAACATTTATTTATTCATTTATTTAGTTATTCTCACCCGAAGATATTTTTTTCATTGATTTTTAGAGAGAGTGGAAGGGAGGGATGGGGGGAGAGAGACATTGATGCAAGAGAGACACACTGATTGGCTGTGTCCCACCTGTGCCCAAGCAGAGGCTGGGGATTGAACCTGCAACCCAGAATCAAACCCAGCAACCTTTAGGTGCATGGGCATAACATTTAGATGTTGAAGTCAATATTTACCGAATGCTAAGTACTTTGGAAGTGTACTACACAGAGCATCTTATTTAATTCTCACAAAGCCCCGGAGAGCTAGTACTATTACTAGTTTTATTTTACAAATGAGGAATGCTTAAAGAGGTTAAGTAACTTGCCCTCTAGACCACGCAACTAGTAAACAATGATGTTGGAATTCAAATTCAGGCAAATCTGACCCCAGAGCCCCTGTTCCCTACAACGATGCTATACTGCCTTATGTAGACTTCTATTTTTATATGTTGAATTTCTTTAAATAAAAGTGCATCAGTAACAGGGGAAACCCCTCTTGCTTCTCTTCTCAAGAAAGTAAGTAATAATTAAGTCCATGAGCATAGGTAGGGGACATTTTTTATACGTGCATCATAATATTATAGGTTAAATACCACTTTATGATTGAATTGTATATCAATATAGAATTAGGTAGTATTTTAACAGATTACCATACCAGAGCTTGTGGTGCAGTTGAAGTCACTCACTTTAAGATCCTGAAATTCACTCAAATGTGTTGTAGCTATTACCTTACATTGTCCAATCACCTGTAAGAAAGAGGAATTTGTCATTGTGTACTGCTTTCTTCAGGTTGAATATGAAGAAATGAAAACATGATGCAACATACCTTATTATCCATTTAAAATTTATTTGTGGTTTCTCTCAACAAGTCCTCTTTCAAAACCTGTATTTTCTTAATCTGTTTCTGTGAGTTTGATGCTATAGGCATCCAAAATCCTCATGAGAACCAAAGAGAAACTGTTTAAACAGATCATGGCCATATCTCAAACATTTTTAAGAGGAAAAAAATGCTAAAATTTCTAGGTATGTGAATATCTTATTTTCTGGAACTCAAATCTTAGATCTGTGCTTTTTCATCTTTGTGTTCTTCTCCTGTGGCAGAGAGCCTGGGATCTGAGTGCCCATGTGCAAAGTGCAGCATAAGACCCTCTTCTTCATGGTAATTGCAACTAAGCCCTTTGGCCCTTACTGCTAATGGGACCAATCTTCATAGGACACAATTACAAATTCATAGGTTCTAGACCCATAGACTGTCAGGGCCAGATAGGATCTTAGAGTCTATGTATTCCAAACCACTCCTCTTATTTTACAGCTGAGGAGATGGACGTTTAGTGACATTGGTGATTTGCACAAGGTCTCATAGCTGGCCATGCAGCAACGAGGGACCACAAGCCCCACTGGGCTCCCAGGTATGGCCCTCAAGAGAATATTACCCAAGGTCAACATAATCTCCATGAGTCAAAAGGCAGAAACTATTCATAGTCTTTTGCTGTGTTAGCCTAGGAATACAGCTACCCTGAATAAGCAGAGTAGACAGAAGTCAAGAATGGTAAGAAGAGGAGAATGATGCCATGTTTACTTACTATTTCAGATGGACGTCTAGAAGGTGGCTCACAGTCATCCCAGTGTTTCCTGGACAGGACTGGACAGTCAGATTCTTTCACATCTAAGACTAAATAATAGACATCTGTGGATCCCTGAGAAATTCCAAGAAAGCAACAGGTGAGTAGCATGTGGGAGCCCAGTATGTTTTCAATAGAAGCAATCTCTTGATTTCTTAAACAGAATTCCTATTCCTTTCCAAATCATTGCAGATGTCTACCTTTGTGTCATTTGATCTATTTATTTTGAATAAGTAGCTTGAAAAAGTTACTTCCAATGTCCTTTTAAATTGGTCATGATGCTGCTTCTGCACATGAGCTGATAAAGCAGTCACTAAATGGCGGCATTGGTTTGGGTGAAGATGTTGAAGGTGTAAACCTTGATTTATAAGTGATGATTAGCCACATCACGAGCTCCAATCTGTATGTGCAATTGTGTCCCTTCACTCAGCTCTATTCCTGAACTTGGACTTCTTGCCGTAATTTCAACTTGCCCAAAGCTAAAACCACTCTCTTCTCTTATAAACCAGCTACCTGTCTCAACTTATCTTGTCTTTTGTCAGTGACACCATTAATTATTTCTTACCTTAGTCTTTGGCTTAAAAAACATGACATCAGCCTGGCCGGGCATGGCTCAGTGGTTGAGCATTGACCTAGGATCCAGGAGATTTCAGGATCCAGGAGGTTGAGTTTCGATTCCTGGTCAGGGCATATGCCCAGGTTGTTGGCTGGATCCCCAGCAGGGGGCATGTAGGAGGCAGCCAATCAATGACTTTCTTTTGTCATTGATGTTTCTGTCTCTCTCTCTCTTCCTCTCTGAAATCAATAAAGACATATTTTAAAAAAAAAAACAAAAAAATGTGACATCAACTTTGATTTCTTCCTTTGCTTTTGCTAGCCAGTTACCAGGCCTTGAATGGTCTTTCTTTGAAGTGTCTCATATCTTTTCTTCATTCTCAATGCCCCAAATCCCACTGCCTGTGTCTGGTCTTCATTTCCTCATTCCTGGACATATAAAATAGCTTTCTAGTTCAAGCCCATGTCACCTGCATCCACCTCCCAAGCACACCATGCCTCCCACCCTCACCCTTAACACTACCATTCAGAGGTAGCACTGGCCAATTCATCCTGTGTCCTATAATGTGGCAGAGAACCTGGGATGGGACTAGTCATCATTGAATTGCTGGTTGAATCCTAAATACCTACACTCATTCTCTGGCTCCAGTACTGCCTCCACATCTAGTGCTTTAACAAGCATAAAGTTATCTCTTGTCCTCTGTGGTGTTCTGTTGTCTGACTTCCCTGATTTTAGTGGTTCCCTCAAAGGGTAAGTTATTTTGGGGTTTTGGGGAGGAAGGCCTCCCTCCATAATCTCTATAAAGTCCTGAAACCTATTGCAAATAAGCATATGATCTAAGTGAGTGATTTTCATCTTTTTTCATCTCATGGCACACATAAACTAATTGTGTGGCAAACCAAAAAAATACATTCTTTTGCCAATCTGACAAAAAAAAGGTATAATTTTTATTCATTCACATGGGACAGCTATTGTTGTGCTGGCTGTTGTCCTTTTCTAATTTGATTATCTAAGGAACCAAGAGGTCAGTGCCCCTGACTGAATAGTCACGTATTGCATGTTTTAAAAATTCCTGCGGCACACTGGCTGAAAATTGCTGCTCTAAGTGAAGGTAGTAGGCTTGCTTTGCATCAAGATAAGCCTACATTCTTTCTCCCACCCTGCTGGCTGTGCCAAGTCTCACATAGAACTTCTGGGATACCCCTGCTTATGTTTAATTACTCCCTAATACTCTCCTTCCTGATTTTTTACTCACATAGAGGTGGTATTCCTGGAATCCCCTTGGAATGCCTTTAAGCCAGGCCATCTTCCTGTTTAAAACATGCTTATTTTTTTGGGACCCAAATGAAGCCTTCTCCCATTCAATGGTAATAGATCTCCTTTCATTAGATTGTCCAACATCTATACTACTCACTCAGTCACTTAAACATATCCTACCGAACTTACACTTTGTCTCCCTGTGTGTGTGTGAGCTGATTCTTATTTCCTTGAGGGCAAGGAATAGTACCAAGCTATTGATTGGACTCAGCATCTGTGCTTATAAGTATTCATAGATTGATTCATAGTTAAGGATATACTAATAACAAATGTTAGTTTGAAAAAAATAAGAACAGTCTAGAGCAGCAGCAGAAACTAAACAGAAAACCTTAACCAAAGCCATTCCATTGTGCAAAGCAGTAGGCTTAGTGGCTAGAGTCACACTTGCCCCTGGTGCATGGTTTTCCAACTCAGGTGTGCCATTGGCAGTTCCTTACCGCTTTGTCCAAGTGGGCATCAGCAACCCGCAGCAACTGAAAAAGGTAGCCATTCGAACGTCCTTTATTGACCAGGTCTAGAGTTTTCCCAGCCAGGGGCTCAGTAGCACTGCAGTTTATGGGGCTCACAGCACAGGAATATTGCAGCGTGATTGAAAGGATGGAAAGCAGAGCTGCCGTGAATGCCCTCATTTTGTTAAAATGTGAAACCATCCCTTGCTATGGTATACCACAGCAGAGGACTTTATATGGGCTCTTTAAATGCATACACACACACATGCACGTACACACCCACACACTATTGATTAAACAGTTTTTATACATTTTTGTTGTGTAACCGAGATGTTCACCTTGACCCCTAGTTAAAATACCTGTCAACAAGCTGTAAATTATTAATGAGTCCTGGGGACAGAAAGTTGAGAAATGCCTCTGGTGAGGGAGTTAAACTGTGATTTGCACAAATCTGGATATTTCTAGTAGGTACTAGGTCCAAGGTGTTTTTGACCATAGGCACTGCCTCATTCATTGGTGTGGGGGGTAGGGTTAGCAGTAAAGTGATTTTCCTCCATCTGCTTTCCTGTCTCAGCCAGAGATTGCCACCATGGTTCCCCTCTTTGGATTATGGCACTAGAAGTCTTTAGTAGAAAGCAGCTATATTATTTAAGGGAGGCGTTAAATGGCTAAGACCATAAAAAGACCTGAGTGCGGGTAGAATAGAATGATTAAGAGGCTGTTGCTTTGGAGTCAGATCTGAATTTCAAGTCTGTGTTGTGACCCTCTTACTATGTGATGCTGAATAAGCTATGAAACTTCTCTGAGTCTTAGTTTCCTCATATATAAAATGGGGATTAACACCTTGTGGCAGGACTGTATGATAATTAAATAAGAAAACATATAATGTAACCAATATAATTCTTGGCATGAATTTAAGTGCTGAATAAGTGATGCTATTGATTATTATTTTTGTTATTATTATTATTATTATTGTGCCTGAGAAGAAGTTGAGGACAACACCTCTCATTCCAGTTCTCCATGGCCTTTAAAGCATGCCAAAAAAAAATTGGTTCCTGTGGAAAAGAACCTTGGTGAGGGTAGAAGTCAAGCCATTTGCTGCCCACCCACCCCAGAGAAGGGCTTAGAGGGAATACACCATTGGGGGGGGCGCTCAGCATTGGGGGACAGAGCTGGAATTAAGCTGACCCCTCAGCCCTGTTCTTCCAACGAATCCAATATATCTGTATGGACCCTTCATACCAGGAGAACCAGTAGCATCAGAAAGGACCAGAGAGAATCAGCCCAGGTTTCCTTCCCACTACATCACTTAAACAGCATCTCCCTCCCTGCTCTCTTCTCTGCCACCAGTGTCTAAGTGTCCACAGCAATGGTTCCCAGGCTTGGCTTTATACTAGAATCACCTGAGGAGTTTTGAAAATCCTTATATCCAAGCCTCCTCCCAGAGCAATTAAACCAGGATCTCTGGGGGTGGACCCAAGTATTGGTCATTTTAAAACTCCCAGATGATTCCAATGTGCAGTCAAGGTTGAGAACCACTGGGGCTCTAGACAGAACCTGGAGGGAGTTTGAAGAGAGAGGGAAGGTGAAGGTATATGAAGAGCAGACCTCACTTTCCAGTCACAGATTGTTTTAGTGAGTGCTAAAAGTAGAAGAAAAATGTTTTGAATTGTGTTTGAGATTAAACTTTTAATATTAACAACACTTACTTTTGGGGGGGTTTTGTTAGTTAATCCTTGCCCAAGGCTATTTTTTTCCCCATTGATTTTTTCAGAGAAAGTGGAAGGAAGGGAGGGAAGGAGGGAGGGAAGGAGGGAGGGAGGGAGGGGAGGAGAGAGAGAGAGAGAAACATAGATGTCAGAGAGACACATTGATTGGTTGCCTCCTGCACTGGCCCCCACCAGGCCCAGGTACATGCCCTTGACTGGGAATGGAACCCATGACCCTTCGGTGCCCAGGCCAGTGCTCTAACCACTGAGCTTAGCAGGCGGGGCAACAAAACTAGCTTTTATTTTTATTATTTTTATTTTATTATTTTTTAAAATATATCTTTGTTGATTTCGGAGAGAGGAAGGGAGAGGGAGAGAGGGACAGAAACATCAATGATGAGAGAGTCACTGATTGTCTGCCTCCTGCACGCCCTGCACTGGGGATCGAGCCTACAACCCAGGCATGTGCCCTGACTAGGAATTGAACTGCAGTCTCCTGGATCCTAGGTCGATGCTCAACCACTGAGCCACACTGGCTGGGAAACACTAGCTTTTAAATAACCAAACTCCAATGTAACTTAGAATGACAGGAATATTATGAAATCTGGCCACAGTGTTATTAAGGGGCTCTCACAAAGGTGGGTAGGGGGCATGCCATTGATTAAAATGAAAATTGTTTTATGTTTCAATGAGTTGAGATCCTTAATTAAGCCTTTCAATTACTGCTATATTGGCCATGTCCTGGGCAAACCAAATGCTGGTGAAGGGAAGGGATGAGAAAGGGAAAAGTCACCAAGGATGAGAATAAGCTTTTCCTGCGTTTCTGTTTGGCTAAGGCCCAGGGGTACTCCCAAGAGCCATGCCTTCTCTCCCTCCTGCTTTATTGAAAATGCTAGTGATGCCATTCCAGCTGCTGGGGCAGCTTCAGATGAGACATCTCAGGGAGCCGATGGGGGGGTGCTAGGGCGGCAACGGTCAGGAGGAGATAGAATGATGGTTGAGTAGGAGAGAGTCTGTCCTGGGGAACTGTCTGATCTAGGAAGTGACATTTAGCTTTGGTGAAGCTTCTTACTGGCTTTGGGAAAGCTTCCTGACAGTCCTGAGGGGGAGAATGGCCCCAGTGTGGTTGAGTGTTTACTTACAACCTCTGTTTTTGAAGGGTACTACTAGAAGCCATATGAGCTTTATAAATGTGGAAAATATAAAAACTCTAAGAAAAACTCACCTCTGATTCTACTAAAATGAGAAAAATCATGAACAATTATATATTTCTTCATAGACTATTTCTATTTGAATATCTGTAATATATGTGCTTTTACATAGTTGGGATTATTCTTTACATACAGGTATTTTTTCCCTCCACTGGAGTGAGTGTTTACTTAGAGCTTCTTGTTTGGAGGGGTAGTACTGGAAGCCATATAAGCCTTCTAAAGGTTAGGGGTTTTTGGTGTTTTTTTTTAAATAAGGTTTTATTTTGAAATTTGAGTTATTTTAATTATACAATTTTTAGTTATAAATATAATCCTTACACAAAGTTAAAAGAATATCAAATATTACAGAATGTGTAAAATAAAAATTAAATCTTCCTTTCCTATTCCTTATTCATTTTTTTAAAAAATTTTTTATTCATTTTAGAGAGAGAGAGAAACATTAATTTGTTGTTTCACTTATTTATGCATTCACTAGTTGCTTCTTTGTGCCCTGACCAGGGATTGAACCCACAACCTTGGTGCACTGGGACAGTGCTCTAACCAACTGAGCTATCCAGCCAGGGCTTATCCTGTCTCTCATTCTTCAAAACTTTTCCCAAGGAAAATGTTTTTAACAAATTTTTGTTATACCAGGAGGACTTTACCAAATCATTAAATATTATTCAGAAAGATTATTTTCAAAGATCAAGTGGTATTGTATGTTATATATGTTTAAAATATATCAATATCCCCCTATATTTGGCCAGGTGTGTTGTTTCCAATTACTTGTCCTTATAAATAATGTTAATATGGACATCCTTGTGTTTTTTCTGATTTCTTTGGCGATGACTGGATCAGTTGACAGCATTGTATAACATCCAGCTTTATGTAATACAAGGCACTTTAAAAAAAACGACATCCATATACTCCCTGCTCACTCTCCCCATACAGCCTCCTTCACTATCAATATTCTCGCCAGAGTGGTACATTTGTTATTATCAATAAACCTACATTGAAACATTACTATCACCCAAAATTCATAGATCATGTTAGGGTTTACTCTTGGTGTTGTACATTCTATGGGTTCATACAAATGTGTAATATCCTGTATCCACCATTATAGTGTTGTACAGAATAGTTTCACTGCCCTACATTACTCTCTGCTCTGCCTATTTATCCCTCCTTACCCCCCACCCACTGATCTTTTTACTGTTTCTGTAGTTTTGCCTTTTCCAGAATATCATGTAGTTAAAATCATAGAATCTGTCACCTTTTCAGATTTGATTCTTTCACTTAGTGATATGCTTTGAGGTTCCTTCGTATCTTTTCATGGCTTAATAGCTTGTTTCTCTTTAGTACTGAATAATATTCCATTGTATGTACCACAGTTTGTCCATTCAGCTACTGAAAGATATTCAGGTTGTTTCCAAGTTTTGTCAATTATGAGTAGAGCTGCTATAAACAGCCATGTGCAAGTTTGTATGTGGACAGAAGTTTTAAACTCATATGGGTAAATATTAAGGAGCACAATTGCTGGATTGCATGGTAAGAATATGTTTAGTTTTGTAAGAACTGCCAAATTGTCTTTCGAAGTGGCTGTACCATTTTGCATTCCCAACAACAATGAATGAGAGTTTTTGTTGCTCCACATTCTTGTCAGCATTTGGTATTGTCAGTGTTCTGGATTTTGGCCATTCTAATAGAGGAATAATGGTATCTCATCACTGTTTTAATTTTCAACTCTCTAATGACATATGATATGGAGCACCTGTTCATATGCTTATTTGCCATTACACATCTTTTTTTCTTTTTGATGAGGTGTCTGTTCACATCTTTTTTGTTGTTGTTGTTAATCTTCACCTGAGGATATTTTTTTCCATTGCTTTTCAGAAACAGTGGAAAGGGGGTAGGAAGGGGGAGAAACACAGAGGGAAGAGAAAGAGAGAGAGAGGGAGAGGGAAGGAAGGAGGGAAGGAGGGAGGGAGGGGAAAATATTGATGTGAGAGAGATATATCAATTGGCTGCCTCTCGCACACTTCCAGACTGGGGCGGGGGATCGAACCTGTAACCTAGGTATGTGCCCTTGACTGGGAATCAAACCCACAACCCTTCGGCGCATGGGCTGATGCTCTAACCATTGAACCACACCAGCCAGGGCTGTTCAAATATTTTGCTCATTTTAAATTGGGTCATTCATTTTCTTATTGTTAAAAAAGTTACTTTTAAAGGTTCATCAGAGAGAATTCTTGATACCACATAACTAGAAATGCCCAAATCTAGAAGTTCCAGCATAGAAGATTAACATTAGCAATTTGCAAAACACTATTATTTGAATACAAGGGCCTGAAATAATTAATGATTATAGCATTTTGAGACTATTGACAAGACTATTGAATTAGCTTGCCAGTATGGTCCCTACATGGTCTTCCTTCTGTGCTCATATCTGTGTCCTAATCACCTCTTCTTACAAGGTCACCAGTCATATTGGATTAGATCCCTCTCGACTTCATTTTACTTAATTACCTCTTTAAAGACCTCATATCCAAATATAGTCACATTTTGAGGTACTGGGTGTTAGGACTTCAATATATAAATTGTAGGAGTCACAATTCAGCCCATGACACTTCTCATATTTCAAAAGATATGTATGTGTGTGTATCTGTATGTAATACATATATTTATGTGTATACATTATATAAACACAATATATATGAATGTATATAATATTATACATTGTATATATCTATATATACACATATATATTTTTTCCAAGATATTATAGATGTCTCTTTTTCTCCCCATTGACCCCTTCCACCCTGCCCCACCCACCTCCCCAGTCCCTCACCCTTACCACAGCATTTTCTGTGTCCTTGGGTTATGCACATATGCATATAAATTCTTTGGTTAACCCCTCCTCCCCCCTCTCCTTCCCTCTCAGATTCATCAGTATGATCTATGCTTCCATGTCACTGAATCTATTTTGTTCATCAGTTTATTATGTTCTTTAAATTCCACATATAAGTGAGATCACGTGATGTTTGTTTTTCTCTGCCTGGCTTATTTCGCTTAGCATAATATTCTCTAGGTCCATCCATACTGTCCCAAAGGGTGCGAGATCCTTCTTTTTTACAGCTGCATAGTATTCCATAGTGTAAATGTCCCACAGCTTTTTGATCCACTCATCTACTGATAGGCACTTGGGCTGTTTCCATATGTATATTTTTTAGGTGGAAAAATTGGGAATGAATGTTATCTAGGCTCTCAATTTGTTCTCTGAGCAAAACTATTAAATAAGCCAGAAAACTCCCAAACTTGGAACAATATCTGATTCTCCCCAGGCTTAGCCACAGGCCACAGGCAACTGTCTCTTCCATCTACCCTCATTGCTAAGTGACTTTATCAAGTTCTGGTCTTGGAGACTATTCAGACAGGTAAGAAAAAGAAATTCCACCTTCAGGTTGAAGGCTGTGCAGACAATATCTGACCGATACTTAGTGCTGAAATAATTATGGAGTAGAAGGAGCGTGAAACTCTGTGATGAATCTCAGTCTCTTGGTATCCTTCAATTTTTATCTCATTGTGATCAAAAGAATCACAGTATGCACCTGCTCAGATAGAGGAGGGCATTCCCTCCTAAGTATGGCAGGTCCGACATCAGAGACACTCAGCTACAAATCAGTGATCATTACTACGGGAAAGGTGGAAGACATAAGAGGAGTCTATCTATCCATGGAATGGTATCTTGGATGGTTTAGGAGGCATGCAGCTCAGTGGTACAAGTGGAGGGTTTCCACTTCCAGCCAAAATGATGAGACCAAGAAGAGTCAAAAGACACATTTTATTAGCCACTCTCTACATTCAAACCCTCTCCCTCTGTCTCCCTTCTCCACTACCTCCCATCTCCTGCAGGGCACAGGGTTCCCTTGGAATCCTCTGTGTGGTCCTCATGGTGGGAGAACAAGAGGGTTGCCATCCTGGGCTGGTCCTGGGCACTTAGCAGAGCGGTGTTCTTCCTTGGGGAAAGGTAGGACAACCAGCTGCTCACTATTAGGCCCCAGGAAGAGGAAGGAAACATCGAGGGTTTCTCCCCAGGGTTTTGTGGTTAGATCCAGCTGCACAGGGAAGGCCTCAACAGGCCCATTTTCCTGGGATTCTCCAGAATTCTCATCATCCAGTTCAGGAAGGTACTGGACAGATCCTCTTGGCACAGCTCTGGAGGATGAGTGGGTGGGTTCTGTGTTTTGCTGGGTAGTAGAATTTTCCTGAAATAAAAACTCTTTCAATAAGGGAATGTTCCCCAAGGAAATCTCTGCTGTGCCTGGTACCAGCCTAAGCTGGTTCTGTGCCTTTCTAGTGGAATGTTTCAAAGGGAGCCCAGCTAGAGGGAAGGGCCTCTGGTTAAAGGGTTATAAAGCAAAACAATTAAGGGCCAGGGGGAACCAAAACTAGTAGAAGCTTGATTGCAAGACTCACAAATCTAGAATGGAACAATGATCCAGAGAAGTTAAATGACTTATCAAAGTCCCCAGTGAGTTGTCTTCTTGCTTCTAGGAGTGGCAGCAATGGTCACCTTTACTAATGATTTATTCTCTGCCAGGCCCAATATAGCACCCTTTATCTAGGTCTTCTCACTTGTTTCACAGGGAACTGAATGAGGTAGTTGTTGCAACCCCATTCAAAATGAGGCAACTATGACTCAGAGAGGTAAGAATTTGCCCATGGTCACATAGCTCACAGGTTTCAGAGCAGGACTGGAACCCATGTTCAACGACTCTTTCAACTATACCAGGCTGTCTCATAGTAAGTGCTCAATAAATACTTCTGGAAAGGGACTGAATATTTCCATGGAAACAACTTCTCCCTTCAGTTCAGCATAAGGGTCTTTGGGACACTGAATTTAATGTCTCAGAGGCCTGAGCCATCCAAGCTCTAAGGTCCCTATTTCTGAATGAGTCTTAATTATTCTGTAGGAGCATATTGACTAAAACAAAGAGTGACGGGTCTTTAATGAGCTATCCTGTGGGTGTGGCCTCAGGGCAGCCTGAATAAAGTGGTGATCATGGATCTCAGGAAAATAAAAGGAGAGGATGGGGTAGGGACAGCTAAAATATCAATAATCTGCTTTTTTCTTCACAGGAAGACAAACAATTAGAATGGAACATACCTGTGATTCAAAGAAGTTACAAGTCACGGAGACAAACGTTTCTACGTCTGTTTTACTCAGAGAACCTTCGCAAACAGCAACAGGCTAAAAAAAAGAGAGAAGATACAATGTTATTTGAATTTTACAATTATCAGTGATCATAAACAGAAATTAAGTTGCTTTCTGCTTGTGTGGACAAACGGCCAAGTAGCATATTTATGCTACTACCGTGCAATAAGCAGGCTCTGAGCCAATTCTCTCTTGATTATCCCTCCAAGTAACTACCCAAACAAGGCTAAATTGCCCAAACAAGGCTAAATTGCCCAAACAAGGCTAAATTGCCTCCAATGACAGGAAATTAAAACCTTATTGAGGAACGAACTTTATTAGAAAATTCTTTAAATTGAATGGAAATCTGTGTCTATAGACTGTGTACCTCTTGGCCTTATTTCTACCGTTGGTCAATTAAAGAAGTTGTTTTCAACTTTCATATAGAACAGCCCTGTATGTGCTTTCCACCTGAGTTAACTCTTCTCAGACAAAACCACTCTCAGCTCTTTCAACTTCTCTTTCTTTAAAAATAAGATAATTTTGTTTTCTTATTACACATGTAGTAGTTATTTAGAATATGAATTAACAGAAAGAAAATATAAAGACCTGTAATTGCAGCAAAGGTATCTGTTTCCTGCAATGATTTGATTTCTTTTTTTGTAATCTTTTTTCTATGCATATATTTTCTAGAAAATAGAATTATACTATATATATTATTTATAACTCTCTTTTGTCACTTAATAATATATTGTGAAAATCCTTTCATGGCATTGAATTAGTCTTCTAGGATCTTTATAATGGCTACCTAATATTCCTCTATGTTATTTAACAAGTTCCCTTTTGTTAGACGCCACATTGTATCTCATTTGTTTTGTTTAAACATTGAAGCTATATCTTTTCATATATCCCTAGTTAACTCCTTAGGGTAAGTTACTGGAAGAGAAATTTTAGAGTCACAAAGTATACACATTTTCAAGTGTAAATAGAATGTTATAATAAAACATTGCTTCAATTTCTAAAGAATTTTAAGAACACAGTATTCACATTGAATTTACTAATATATGTCTAAAAAGATTGCCTGAATATTACTCTATCATCTCCAGATTATATGAAGAAAAGATTAGAAATTCTTTAGAGTGGCAAAAATCCACTAAGGTAGAAAGTTCTTGGGGAATGGTGGCTCAGTCTTTCCCTTCTCCTCTTCATCACCAAATTACATAGGGAAAGGGCTCTAAGAGAACCTTCTGGAGAGACTGCAGGTATCAGAATCAAGTAAAGCCTGGCCCCTCCCACTCAGCCTAGGATTTGTTGAGCTACCATAGTTCATAGGCCTACCTGGTGCTGAAACTAGAGTGGACCACAAAAAGGGAGGTTGAGAGCATGCTTGGTATGTGAATCCTAGAGGGACATACGGGCTTTGGAGATTGGGGTCTGCTTCTCTTTCAGAGCATTTTAAGAGCAGGATCTTGGATAAGGCAGTCTACTATGGTAAGGAGAAAGGGCAGCAGGGGAAACCTATTTCCACTGTCTGGCATAAGTAATTTTTATGTCTGGCATAAAAATATGTAAGGTTTACATGGGACAAGCAAATGTCATATGTAGTATTCTTTTGAATGGGCCCACCTGGAGGGACTTCCAGATACAGGGCATTTAATAGTAAAAAATATGTGGGGGCTAAATCTGAGAAGAGGTGGTTCCAAGGAGTCAGCTAGAGAATACATCATCTTACTAGGAAAAGACCCCTGGATGAACTATCACCAGTACCACCTGAGAGAACCAGCACTGGAGCTTGTTTCACAGAGAGCCAGTGTAGACCAAGAGAACACTACAACTGCAGATTTAGTTATGCAAAAAGACTTTGTACTCTTTTCTCTACTCCTCTCTCATCCTTCTTAAAGCTTGGAAGATCCAGAATTAAGTAAAAGATTGCAAGAGAGGAAGAAAAAATGAAAGAACAGAACTTAATCCCTTCCTCATATCAGGTCTTAAGCTCTAGGTCAGGTTTGAGCTACAGAAAGGGAAAAGCTTTGTATTGAATGTGAGATAGAAATGTTGATTCAGAATTCACTGAACACTCAATACCTGAAAGTGAATCTTAATTACCTAAGTGAAATTGTTTCTCTTTCTGAAAATAACCAGACAGCTATAGGATCTGCCCAAGATGTCATTGACAAGCAAAAAAGAGATTCCACAGAATAGGGTGAAGATGTTTTCTCAGTTATGCCTTGAGAAAATTGAGAATATTCAATTGACTGGTTACAAAGGGCTTTTGAGAGAAACACTTTACATTCAAAGACATATATAGGTTGAAAGTAAAAAGATGGGGAAAAATTACAATGTAAACAGTAACAAAAAGACAGCTGGAATGGCTATACAAATATTAGGTGAAATTGACTTTAAGACAAAAATTATTACTAGAGAGAAGAAAAAACATTTATAATGATAAAAAGGTCAATTTATTAGAAAGACATGACAACTATACATATATATGACCTGCAACAGAGCTCCAAAGTGCTTTAGTCAAAACTGACAGAATTCAAGGGAGATGTAGACAATTCAACAATAATAGTTGGAAACCTCATTTTCAGTAATGGATAGGACAGCTATGCAGAACATTCAAAAAGAAGCAGAAATCTTACACCACGTTATAAACCAGGTACCCCTGACAATCACCGAATGCTGCATCTAACAACAGCAAATACGCATTCTTCTCAAGTGTACATGGAACATTCTCCAGGATATACCTTAAATTTAACAAGTGAGGTCATTCAAAGTGCATTCACTAACCACAATGAGATGATTTTAGAAATAAAATAACAGAAGAAAATTGGGAATTTCATAAATATGTGGAAATTAAGTAACATACTCCTAAATAACCAATTAGTCAAAGAAGTTATTGCAAAGAAAATTAGAAAATACTTTGAGATGGATGGAAACAAAAACACAATCTGCACAACTTACTGAGATAAAGCTAAAGAATTCCTTAGGAAAAAATTTATAGCCTGGCCAGTGTTGCTCAATGGTTGAGTGTCGACCTATGAACCAGGAGGTAACGGTTTGATTCCTGGTCAGGGCACATGCCCAGGTTGCAGGCTCGATCCCCAGTAAGGGGCATGCAGGAGGCAGCCGATCAATGACTCTCTCTCATCCTTGATGTTTCTCTCTCTCTCTCTCCCTCTCCCTTCCTCTCTCTGAAATCAATAAAGATATATTTTTTAAAAATTTATAGATGTAAATTTATAGACGTTTATGTTAAAAATAGAAAAAGAGCCCTGGCCAGTGTGGCTCAGTTGGTGAGTGCCATCCCACCATCCAAAGGTCGCTACTTCAATTCCAGGCCATAGCACATACCCAGGCTGTGAGTTTGAGTCCCAATTGGGGTACATATGGGAGGCAGCTAATCGGTGTTTCTCTCTCTCCCTTACTCTCTCTAAAACTGATAAAAATAATTTAAAAAGAAAAGAAAAAAATTAAAAATTAATAACCTAACCTCTAGCTTAGAAAACTAGAAAAAGAAGAGTAAACTAAGCTTAAAGCAAGCACAAAGGAAAAAAAAAAAAAAAGAATAGAGAGGAAATAAACTAGATGATAAAAAAAAAAGAAAATAAACAAAACTGAAAGTTGATTCCTTGAAAATATCAATAAATTGACAAAGCTCTAGTTAGACTCACCAAGAATAAAATTACTCAAAAACTAAAATTAGAATTAAAGAGGGTACATTACTTCTAATCTTTCAGAAATAAAAAGAAAATACTATGAACAACTGTATGCTGGCAAATTAGATAACTTAGATGAAATGAACAAATTCTTAGGAAGACACAAGCTACCAAAATTCACAGAAGAAAAAATAAAAAATCTGAATAGACTTATTACAAGAGATTGAATTATTAATCAAAAAAACTTCTCCCAAAGAAAAGCCCAAGCTCAGATGGCTTTATTGGTGAATTCTACCAAACATTTAAAGAAGAATGAATACCAAAAATTTCTCCCAAAATAAAATAGAAGAGGAGGAGAAATTTTTTAACTCATTCTATGAGGCCGGTATTAAACTCATATTAAAATCAGGCACAGCTCGGCCGGGCGTGGCTCAGCAGTTGAGCGTCGACCTGGGATCCAGGAGATCGGGGTTCGATTCCCGGTCAGGGCACATGCCCAGGTTGTGGGCTCGATCAATGACTCTCATCACTGATGTTTCTGTCTCTCTCTCCCTCTCCTTTCCTCTCTCTGAAATCAATAAAGATATATTTTTAAAAAATAAAATAAAATAAAATAAAATAAAATAAATAAATAAATAAAATCAGGCACAGATAACACAAGAAAATGACAGATCAATACCCCTTATGAATATAGATGAAAAATCTTTTAAAAAATACTGACAAATGGTATTCAGCAACACGTAAAAAGGATTATACACCATGATCAATTGGGATTTATTCGCAAAGTGCAAGATTGTTTTAACATACAAAAATCAATCATTGTTATATATAATACTAATAGATTAAGGGAAGGGAAAATCACATGATTATCTCATTAACACAGAAAAAGCACTTGACAAACTCTAACACTCTTTCTTGATAAAAACATACAACAAACTAACAATAGAAGAAAACTTTCTCAACTTGATAAAGGGCATCTATTAAAAACCTACAGTTGCCCAGCGGGACGTGGCTCAGCGGTTGAGCATCGACCTAGGATCCAGGTGATCAGGGTTTGAATCCTGGTCAGGGCACATGCCTGGGTTGCGGGCTGACTCTCTCATCATTGATGTTTTTATCTCTCTCTCTCCCCCTCCTTTCCTCTCCCTGAAATCAATAAAGATATATTAAAAAACAACAACAACCCTACAGTTAACATCATATTAAATGATGAAATATTGAATGTTTTCTGCCTAAAAACAGGTTCTTCCCACCTCTATTTAACATTGCATTGGAAGTTCTAGCCAGGAATATTAGGCAAATAAATGAATAAATTTGCTTAAATATTAGGCAGATTGGAAAGGCAGAAATAAACTATCTCTGTTTGCAGATGACATGATCTTGTATGTATATAGAAAGTACTAAGAAATCTACTGGAAAACTATTAGAACTAATAAATGAGTTCAGCAAGGTTACAAGATACAGGTCAATATATAAAAATCAATTGTATTTCTATAAACTTGCTATGAATAATCCAAAAATAAAATTAAGAAGACCAATACATGATGGTAGCATCAAAGAGAATAAAATATTTATGTGTACAAATAAATGAAAGTCTTGTACACTGAAAACTAAAAAACACTGTTGAAAGAAATTAAGTTCTACACAAATGGAAAGACATCCCATATTCATGGATTGGAACACTTAATATTGTTAAGATGACAATACCTCCCACATTGATCTAGAGATTCAATGCAACCCCTCTCAAATTTCCAACCACCTTTTTTTTTCTTAATCCTCACCCAAGGACATGTTTTTATTAATTTGAGAGAGAGAGAAAAGGAGAGAGAGAGAAACATTGATGTGAGAGAAAAACATCAATCGGTTGCCTCTTGTATGTGCCCTGACCAGGGATCAAACCTGCAACCTAGGTATGTGCCCTAACTGGGAATTGAACCTGCAATTTTTTGCTGCTCGGGATGATGCTCCAACCAACTGAGCCACACAGGCCAGGGCTCCAGTGGCCATTTAAAAAATAGAAACTGACAAGCTGATCCTAAAATTATTATGAAAATGCAAGGGATCCAGAATACCCAAAACAATCTTGAATGAGAACAAAGAGGACTCATACTTCCCAATTTCAAAACTTACTGCAAAGCTATAATATTCAAGATAGAGTGGTAGTGGTGTAAGAATAGATATATAGATCAGTGGAATCAAATTGAGGATATAGAAATAAATCCTTAAATTTATGGTTAATTGATCTTCAAGAAGTATGCCAAGGCAATTAAATGAAGGAAGATATGGCCTTTTCAACAAATAGTGCTGGAACACTTGGATATCCATATGCAGAAGAATAAAGTTGAATCTCCTACCTCTTGTCATATACAAAAATTAACTCAAAATGGGTCATAGACCTAAACATAAGAGCTAAAACTATAAAACTCTTAGAGGAATACATAGGAGTAAATCTTAGTGACCTTGGATTAGGCAATGGTTTTTTAGATGACACCAAAAGCACATTCAACAAAAGAAAAAATATGAAGTAGGACTTCATAAAAATTAAAAGCTTTGTACTTCAAAGAACATCAAGAAAATGGGCAATCCAGACAATGGAAAAAATATTTCAAAACCATATATCTGATAAGGGGGATTGTATCCAGAATATGTACAGAACTCTTACAATTCAACAATAAAAAGATAAATAGGCCAATTTTAAAATGGGCAAAGGATTTAAATAGAGATTTCTCTGAAGAACTTATACAGCTGGTCAGTAAGCACATTAAAAGATGCTCAACATCATTAGCCATGAGGAAAATGCAAATAACAACCAAAATAAGATATTACTTCATACCTAGTAAGATGGTTATAATAAAAAGACAGATAATAATAATAAATATTGGCATGTGTGTGGAGAAATTGAAACCCTCCTAAATTGCTGATGGGTTTATGAAACTGGTGCAGCCACTTTTCTCAGTTAGTCAAAAGGCTAAGCAGAGAGTTCTCACATGACCCAGCAATCCCAGTCCAAGGTATATACCAAAGAGAAATGAAAACATATGCATCCATAAAAACTTGTACACAAATGTTCATAGCAACATAATTCCTCAAATGAGGAAACCCAAATATCCATCAAGTGATGAATAAACGATGCATGGTATATCCATACAATTAATTTATATTATTTGATAATTAAAAGAAATGAAGCACTAGTACATTCTACAACATGGATAAACCTTAAAACATTATGCTAAGTGAAAGAAGACAGATTCCAAAGGCCACATACAGTATGATTCCATTATATGAAATGTTCAGATAAAGTTAAAGTCATAGAGATAACAAATCAATTAGTGATTTCCATGGGCTTGGGTAATGAGGCAAAGAGAATGATTGCTAATGAGTATGGAGTTTCTTTGGAGGCTGATGAAAGTATTCTAAAATTAGATACTAATGGGCGTGGCACAACTCTGAGAACAGACAAAAAAGCCACCGAATTGTATACTGTAAAAGGGTGAATTTTATGGTGTGTGAATTATGTCTTAATAAAGCTGTTATTATAAGTAAATAAAGGGAGAAAAGACTTTTGATGCATTTTGCCCAATTGTGTTACAGCACATTGTGCCAACTGGCATTCCCACCAGGTAGGTCAGATGGTTTCAAGGCACCCTCTCCATCTTGGATGCATTCTTTCTAAGACATCCTGTTTGACTTTGTCCTTCTTAAAGAGTGGTCCTAGGAATAAAACATGTTGTATTCCAAATGTAACTGGATTTGTTCAGGTAACTAGGACAACCACCAAACATTGAGGAGATTTCTCTATATTTGACAGCCTCTATGATCATTTTCTGCAAAGGCATAACATTGCTGATGGAAATTGCAACTACAATAAAATATTATTGCATCTGGGCCACCACAGTCTCTAACTAGTCAGTCATTCCTTGAGGGGAAGAAAAGTGTCTTATGCATCACTACAGCTCATATGTAATTTATGCTCAATATGTACATATAGATGATCTGGGAACACAAATCTTTAATTATGAAAACATCAAGAATACTCACCACAGGGTCACCAGACTGAATTGCACAACTGCTGGCCTGGGATTTGGTGCACGGTGACTCTTTGATCAAATATTTCACAAAGTAGGAGGGGCCAAACACCCACTGGTATGAGACAAGAGTTGAGAAACAAAAATCAAACTTCTCCATGTAGTTTGGCAGCATTATATTTACAGAAACCATACATTCCCAGAGTCATTGTCAACACAGGTCTCCTGTTGTCCCTATAATTCCCACCATTATCAAACCATTTATTATGATTTTGTTATTTAGAAAACATAATCAGCATACCTTTCTTCCCTTCTTAACAATTTGAATGAACTCTAAAAACCTACCCTTGGGTGAGCTTATTTTTCTTCAAGTAGATTTACTTATAGATTAATTTTTTGTTATATGGTAGATGTCAATGTAATCCAAATACATATGAGCCTCCATTTCCCTTAACTCACAAAACTCAGCATCCACTCTGGATCTTAACATGGAGCAGAAGTTCACTTGCTAAATGAGATCTATGGTCAATCAGATATGAAAATGTAGCAGTAAATAGTGAACCTAGGTGGAATAAACCAAGGAGATTATGAGTTCATTTCCATTTGTGCCTTAAGGGCAATGAGGTAGAGGTAAAATCAAATCCCACAACTCTTGTGGAAATTCCATGGAATAACGTAGAAGCTGAAATATGACTGAATGTGCATCAGGTCTACCAAAGTAGGGAGTGAAGGAAGGCTTTTGGATTCTAATCAAAAGAAGTGACTTAATAGTCTCCTTTCAGTTTAGAAATTGATAGCAACAGTCATGAGATACATTGTTGGTATAACTGGGCATTTCCTCCTCACCTGGCTGGAAGCTCTAACGACTTTGAAGAGAGAATATTGCTTTGAGGTGCTCTCCTTGTTGAATTTTGCAAGAGTCTCAGTGACAGCTTCCAGAACTTTGGGATCTGACACGTCAACGGGGCCGGGGCAGTCAGGACACATAAGCTGAATCTTTCTTTGAGAAACTGTTGATGCCAAAGAGAGTAGTTTAAAAATAAAACTCCTTAATGATTTTTAATCCTATAAACCATATGACCACAACAGAAGCAGAGATTGGGGGGAAAAAAGAGATGATTTCAGCAAGGATGAAGTGAAAAAGGCATTATCTGGAATGAAAGTTAGCTGTCAGCAGTGAGTTTTCTGCAATGAGCATGTATTCCTTTCATAATTTATTTAAAAATCAAAGCAAGATTTTTTCACCTCACACACATTTATTTATGCTAGAAATTTTGTTCAAAAACACGTGTTCATATTGATATAAAAACTTTCTCCCCTATTAATAGTTCCATATCTTCTATCATTATTGCCTCTCTAAAGCAGCTGAGTGTCTTAAAAGGTTGGGATTTCATTATTGGTATGTCTTATTCACCTTTTAGTCTCCAACACCTAAGATAATTTAAGTGCTTAGTAAATGCTTATTGAATGAATGAATGAATGAGTGACACGTGAAAGGTGGAAGCACACTTTCTCTGGTTAGAAAATGCAAATGAGCCAGAAAACAAAAATTGGCCAAGTCACTGTATGATTGGTTAGAATAATCATTCTAATGATACAGCCAGAATTCTGACTGGGAGGAGCTGGGAGTTACAAAATAGTATGAAAATCAAGCTGGGAACTTGTCTGCAAGTTGTTTTACAGAGCAAAACAATGAATCAATTGTGGGTTTATTTGAATGTATTTGGATGTACTATGGGGGAGTTACATCCACAGCTTGTCACTTGTGGCTCTACCCCCCTTGTCACTTTCTGACCTCCCATACCTCTGGTACCTGTGACTTCTGAGTCCTGATCTGTTTTACTAGTTGTTGCTCTATAATTTAAGTAAGTCTTATCTTCACAACCAGGAAGCTTAGACTGCAGCTAATAAAATATTTGCTCTGTTGCCATGTCCCTCAAAGGAACCGGCAGCATTGTTATGACCTGAAGCTTGTTAGAAATGCAGACTCCCAGGCCCCACTACAGAACTGTGGAATCAGAGTCTGTACTTGAACAAGATCCACCAGGGGAGTCACATGCACATAATAGTTTGACAAGCAGCCATATCCGATTTTCCCGTGTCTTGGATGCTTGCTTTCCAAAGAAGGATCCAGAGTGAATGCATGTGCATATTTGAAATGTCATCAGTTCCAGCCTCATTCTTAGTTCATTTACTCATTTATTCAACAATATTATGGATTCCTTACACTCAGTACGAACTGGAGGAAGGTTTTAGCAGGAAGAAAGAAGGCATAAAATATTCTGCATTAAATAAGATGGAAGACTTCAAATCAAGGCAGTGCATGGCCTGTGTTCCATGAGTGGTTACATTAAGTTTCATAGGAATGAGAACAGGAGAGCTTGTTCCTTTCCTGAATAAAGAACATTATGGAAGAAGCAGCATTGAAAGTGGTCTTTAAAGAATAGATATGGGTTCCAAGGGCAAGGGTACCAGGGGAGGGCATCCTCAGCAAAGGGAAAGGTACAAGCGAGATGCAGAAATTGGAGAGAAATTGGGCAAAGAGTGCAATGTGTGTTCAGAAAATAGTGACGTTTTCAGTTGAATGAAGTACAGAGTTGGTATAGTTAGGGAAGTAGTGGCAGAGATAGCTAGAAAGGGAGCCTAGGGACCAGTGTAGAGATGATCCCATTTATGTCAGATTAAAAATTTAGGATTTAATTCAATACTCATGAATAAAGTATTACAGGTGATTTAGGAAGACAAATTATGGGAAGAAGAGCAGTACAAATTGAATTTCACAGGGGAGACAAGTATTGGATATATTAAGAACCTGGCCTTGGCATGAATAGGAAGTAAGAATAGGAGAACCTTATTCACTCTGGGAATAGCCCTGCTTAATTCTCTTTTTTCGTCTTTCATTAAAATAACCAAAATCAGAGTGCTCTCTTACCTGGGCGAAGAGTACAGTTATAAGCAGGTAAATAAAGAACTCTTCTTGGCTTGTTAACGTAAAATAATGCTTTGCATTGACCATAAACCTGGAACCAACAAACACATTTTATGACATCATGGTACAAACTCTAACTTTGTCAAATAACCCCCCCCACAAAATGAAATTGGACATTTTATTTTTAAATAACAAAAAACTTAAGGTCAATTTTGGTGGCTTTGGGTGTGAAAAACTGCCAGCTGATCATCAAAAAATTTAACCTTCTCCTGGGACACAGCTAGACTACATTTCCCAGCCTCCCTCATGAGTAGATGTCACTGTGTATAACTAAGTCCTAACCACATGAAGGTCAGCAGAAGTGGCTGTAATCACTTCCAGGCCTGGCCCATGAAGATCTCCCATGTGCGATCTCCCCTCCCTGCCTTTTCTCTTTCTATAGCTTGGTGCCGATGAGCATGGTGACCACAGAAGCCAGGAGTTGAAGGTGGCAGAGTCTAGAACCACGATGTGGAAGGAACCTAGGTCTCCAGTCACTCCTAGAGGAAAGCCTCCTCTTGAGCAGGAATTTCTATTTGGAACTTTATATGAGAAAGAAGTAAACTTCTATCATATTGGAATCAGTATGTACTTTTTTTGGATATGTGTTACAGTAACTAGTGTCACCTTAACAAATATGATTCACAACAGGGTAAATGGGAATCTCAGAAACACCTCTTCAAAATCAGATAGGTACAGTTTGACAAATTTAGTTAAATGATTAGAAAAGATATCTTGATCAAGTAGTTTACTTCTAAACACTGTCATGTACTCAAAAGCGTCATATCAATTAATGGAAATAACTCAGGATAATTGTTAACAGATAAAAATTGATTATTTTCAAGCCTCTTCAATGGATCAATTCTCAGGCCCTTTAGGTTCTATGATTCCAGGAAATCCTTCCACAGCACCTCTGAGAGTTCCTATACTGTAAGCCCTTCCGTTCTCCAGCCTCAGACTTCATATTAGTGTTCATTAAAACAAAATAAAGCAAAATAAAACCAATAAAAGAGCTTGCCCTTTACTGCTTCCACAGTCTTCCTTAAACACACATCCAGAGCACTACAGCTCAGATCTTTTTCTCACAATTTAAACACAGGCTTGGAGCCTACAAAAGGGTCTTGGGAGTAGGAAACAATTTGGGGGTCATAACCCAATGGGATGCTCAGAAATACCTCTGATTAAACTCTGTTTTGTCAAATAGAATTGTAATAACCACATGGGTGCCATGCCCAAGAGATTATAAAGAAGGACATTTAAAAGATGGCACACATTGAACAATCTTCACCCTGTAGACAGAGGACACCTAGTTTCTCCCCTAGAGCTCCCGGGACTCAAGCACTTACCGATTCATGAAGGGGCCTCTGTTTACAGTCCTTCCACGACTTCTTGCTTAGCACATGGCAGTCAGTCTCTAACACGTCCAGTGTGAGATAGAACAGAGATCCCAAACCATCCTATGGGAAGGGGTGAAAAAAAATGTACCACAGTCCACATGAAGCAGAACCCCATAAAGATTGGCTAAAAATGTTTCTGGTTTATGGCAGGACCAGAGACTATTTTATTTGTGATGATTTCTTATAAACTGTGGGACACTGGACAAGTGTCAGAGTAGGATACTATTAGCACTTGTTCCTAGTAACAGTAAGAGCATGTAGCACAACATAGCAGAGGGGAGCAGAGTTCTCAGCAGTTTTCCAATTTGGAAAGCACCTGCCAACTTGTGTCTCTGGGTTTCCACCCCCTAGCCAGCCACTGAAGCTTATGCAGACACCTGCCTCAGATAGGGGACTGTCACTTGCCTGCCTGTGTTCTTGGACATTGCTCACTCGGTTGAGGCTCAGCACATAGCCTTTCTTTTGGTCGCTGTTGATGTTCTGCAGGGCAAGTCCCGCTATAGCCAGCACATCTGAGTCATTGCAGCCATGGGGGAGGAGAAGGGATCGGCTGGGCACCTGCACGGGCACAGATCTAGTAGAGCAGCACACGGCCACGGCACAGAGCACCAGGGGTAGGAGCAGACCCATTCTGTGGGAAACAAGACACAGATGGTTCAATATGTGGAGCTACAAGGATGGGATACTTATAGGGCTCTGTAAGGCCAATTTGAGCAGTTCTGTAATCACAATCTGAACCTTGGACCAGAATTTAAAACATAAGGTCCCATTTTATCTCGTTAAACTTTAAATGTGAATTTCCCTGAGCCAGCACTTTGGATGGGATTTGCCAATGTTTCTAACCTTACACTCCTGAGTAATCTCATATTCATGTGTACATGTAAGCAAACTTATGTATCTTAACCTTTTCCTAAGAAATCATAACAAACACTTGGGTCAAGGCCCCTAGCAGGTCATGACTGGATTCTGGTTTTCCTTCAGGTCTCCAACTGAATCAGAATATGCAGACTGTCCCATTCTCCCATTTCCCCTAGCACCTTCCCTCCAGTTGATGTCTTTGGCCACATTAACAGTTATTCCAGGCTTGGACCCTAGGGTCATTGGCCAATGGTGCTCAGTGAATTCACACTTCCTGCCTGACCTACCACATTCACCATTCTTGTTAGATCAGGAAAAAAGGCTCTAACCCACATCACCTACATGAAAGACTGGTGAGGTTCCTAAAGCCCTTTGGGATCTGGCTAGGAAGTGGTCTATGTAGTCTCCTTTGGGTTTTTTTTAAAAACAAAGACTTCATTTAAGTTAAAAAAAAGAAAAAAAGAATGGTATATAAATAGTTCACTCGTCATACACCAAATCTATTCTTCTTCTATGAAGCTGTATGGAAACAAACTCATAAGGGAACTAAAACCTAATAGTATTGTTCAGAGATAGATAATGATTGGCAGGTAGGCTGGAATACCAGTAAGTCCCACAAGGTTGGGACTCCTGTTTTTCTCTTTCAGCTTCTACTTGGGGTTCAGGAAATTTCTACTAATTCAAACTGTACAAAACACAAATATCTTTAAAAACTTGCTATTAAAAAAAACCCCACACAGCCCTGGCCCATGTGGCTCAGTGGTTACGGCATTGTCCTGTGCACCTAAAGGTCACGGGTTTGATTCCTGGTCAGGGGCACATATCTCAGTTGCAGGTTCAATCCCCTGCCCTGGTTGGGGCACATGCAGGAGGCAACCAATCTATGCGTCTCTCTCATATCAATGTTTCTCCTCCCCCCAATGGAAAAAGTATCCTCCAGTGAGGATTAAAAAACAACAAAAAACCAAACACACACACACACACAGAAGTAGTTTGTCATAAAAGGAAAGAGCCAAAACTGGGGGGAAGCTTCTAGATTAGAATAACACAGAAGTTATTCCATAGAACCCTAGTCTATGAGATGTGTTCCCCACTCCACGCCTTCCCCAGCTTCACCCCCACCTCCCACCCCATCCTCAGTGTTCTGTGCTCAGATAAGTTTGGGAACTTATCATAGGTGTACAGTCTCACACCTTCTCAACACACGTTAGATATTAACAGCTCTCCAAAGCTTTGAGGTAAAGAAACCTATTTATACCACAATGTCCTACATTATTTGACTAGAAGAGAGGTCTTCGTAATACTTATTAACCCACAAAATACAGTCTGGGATATATTGCACTAGTAGATAAAGATGGCTATCTGTGAGGGTTTTTGATAAGAAACTGTTCAGCATTATGAAGATTTAGACTGGAAGTAAAGATATTTCAAATGGATTAAAAATAAAAAGTTCACTCTGGCCTAAACCAAAATTCAAGGTGTGTTAAGCCATGACTGATAACAGTGAACTAAACATAAGCAAGGCATTTAATATTATCTATGTTTATCTAAAAATTTACTTTCACACTGAACTTAAATATAATGATTTGTGTTGCTAGTTAGGATTACTGTAATTAGCTGCTGTGATACAATTTAAATTTTTATTAAAAAGTTGAGTGGAAAATAGTTTCTTCTCATTTGATAACCAAGTTATGGCATTGTAGGTCATTTGGTGGCAGTATATAGATAGAATCACTGAAAAGTCCCCTTAATAGGAATTTAGTGAATCTAACCAGCATGTATCTCAGGCAAAAAAACTGAGGTGTAGGAAGGTGGAGTGTGCCTAAACCAAAATCATAACTGAATTAGAGGCAGAACCAGTACAGAAAGCTTCTAGTTTAGAATTCTTTTTAACAAACCAAGCATTATAGCCGTAGCCTAACTGTAACCCTTTTAATTATCAACTGAATAAACCTTGAAAGCCACTAAACTACTATAACCCTCAGTAGCCAGATCTGTAAAATGGGCTCATCATAGCACCCGCTTCATAGGAGATTATGTGCATGGAGGGCTAGACCCACATGTGGCATACAGTGGCAGCTTTGTTATAATTACGGTAGTTACTTAAAATTCCACAAGCACTTATTGAGCACCTCCACAATGCCAGGAACTGTGTCAGGCTCTCTGGAATCAAGGGTTAATAAAGGTAATTAGATTAATAAGATACAGTTCTTAACTAATTTCTACAAGCCAATCAACAGTTTCCAGGCTTGATTTACAAACCCAAATTTAATGATCCCAGCTCCTTAGAGATGGATGTTAAACATTGTTTTCAAACAGGAGCAACACTAGGAAAATGGGTATAAAAACCAGAAATGGGCATGGAAACTAGACATTCAAATTCTGGGGTACAACAAAGATTTGCAGCCAGTGAGTGAACAAACGTTCTCAGGGCTGGAGTGATGTAGGCGAAAGAGGTTGGGAAGGACTGGGAAACAAGAATGGAGAGGGGCCCAACAGGAGGAAACAGTCTGAGGCCTAAGGAAGTGCATCAAATGTGCATCTGTGAAGGCCTTTACTGCGATTGAAATGAAAGGTGGGCTGAGGGGAAGGGGTGGGGGATAAATGGGGGTGGAAGGGGCCTTGACTTTGTGTGGCGAACACACAACACACAATGCAATATGCAGATGATGTCTCATTGAATTGTACACCTGAAACATATAAAATTTTATTAACCAATGTCACCCCAATACATTCAATTTAAAAATTAAAAAAAATTTTTTAAAGGGAGATTAAACACTGATGGGAGAATAAATCAGATTTGTCCCAACGTCCTGATTCGGCCCTTAACTGTGTGACCAAAGGCAAGTGGCGTAAGCCTTTTGAAGCCCAGTTTCCTCACCTGTGAAGTCAGGTGTAGAACCACACAACTGCTGAGAGCCCTTTCGATCCTGATGCGAGGGCATCCCTGCCTTTCTCTTTACCTGACTTCATTCCATTTCCAGGAGATATCACTCCCTGAATACAATGGAACTTGTTCACCACCACCCAGGATCAGCTTTCAACCCAGTCTCAAACAACCTGAGCCCAGCCCCTTTCTAGGTTGTGAAGTATGGGAGCCCTGGGTGAGGTGGCAGGGGGAATAGGCCAGTCTTTGGGGTCAGACAGACCTGGTTTAAATTTCATCTCTGCCATTTGCTTAGTAGGGGGTCTGAGACACTGGGTATACCACAACATTTAGTTTTCTGTCCATAAAACAGCAGCACTCCCAGCACACACGCACACACACACACACACACACACACACACACACACGCCAGTTGCACTCACTTGTAGAAAGAAGGGACATATTTTCTCTTTTCCTGGGAGCTCCACTCCAGGAACACCTATGCTTGGTCCCCAGCAAGTGTGGGGACAATTCCAGTACCAGTGAAGAAGTGAAGTTTCAGGGCAGAGTGAAGAGCAAGGCCGTGGACACAGGTCACCCAGGGTTTGAGTCTGGGTTCAGGCTTAGGATAATCCTCTAATCCAGTGCTTTCCAATAGAAGCATAGTGCAAGTCATATGTTTAATTTTACATTTTCTAGTAGCCACATTAAACAAGTAAAAAGTAATAGATGAAATGAATTTTAATATTTTGCTTAACCCGATATATTAAAAATATTATCATTGCCATCTGTAATTAATATAAAAATATGAATGAGGTAGTTTGCATTCTTTGTTTAACACTACCACATGCCTCAGTTCATACTCATTTAGGGTGTTCCATAGTCACATGTGGCCACCTGATTAGACTGCACAGGCTCCTCCCTGTCAGAGGAAGGCACCAGGAGCCCCTCTCCTGAGGATGCAGTAAGGACTGGTTACGGGGAAATGCATGCCAGGTGTTTGGCACAGCCCTGGCACACAGAACACCTAGGGACTACGTCTGCTGTCAGTACTATGACTGCTCCTTGTGTCCTTACCTTGTCTCACACAGTGCAGATCCCAAGACTCCCCTGGCCGCTTTTCCCCAGTCTACCTGAATGGAGTCACCACTAGGTGAGCCAGGTTAGGAGAAAAAGGGACTTGATTTTTCTTGATCCAGGAGGGAGTGGTACCAGGCCTCCTGGATCCCCTCCTGCTGACAGGTGTGATTCAGGGCAGCGATTTAGGACAGGTTTCAGAACACAGGTCAGGCAGGTGAGGCATTGTTTTCTACAGAGTGGGGTGAGGTGTGGTGCATGGGATTAGGTCTCTGGGAGTTAGAAATATAGGTAACATGTCTTGACCTGAGACGGTGGGCTATGTATTTAGGAAAGTTGTGCAGCAGCCACAGGTCCAAAATATCAGGCTGGCTTTGACCTGGTTAGAAGTGATCTCTGCAACTGGTTTGTTTGTTTCTCTCTTTCCCTTTCTCCTTAATCTTTTCTTCCTTCCACAAACCCTGAATGAATATCTTCTCCATACGCTGCAAAGGCCCAGTGTTACAAATATGTGATAAATAACAATGATGAGTTCTCAGTGTGTGACCAACCCCGTGCTAAGCACTTTGTGTTCCTTCTCTCATTTAAGGTCCACAACCAAACCAGGGCTGTGCTGTAGGTGCCAGTGTTATTCCCATTTTACAGATGAGAAAAACTGAGGACCAGCAAGATGAAGTAGCTTGCCCAAAGTCTTATAGCCAGGGTTTTTGTCTAGCCTATATGGCTTTCAAGAAGAAGCATAGTTCTTGCCCTCAGTGAGTGGGTACCAAGAAAGCAACAGGGGGAGAAACTAGCTCTGCTGGGGAAGTCACTACTCAGAGGAGGTTAC